CATTGGTGTCAATGACAAATTCGTTAGGGAGCCATGAACAAATGTCATCTGCATTTTCAGGGTTCGTAGTTGGATGTGGATCACCACCAGTCTGGCGAAGATTCTTTCGTTCGACAGACTTAATTTTCTTTTTTGTCATTTTAATGATGCTCCATTGAGATTTTATTTGAGGAAGGGTGCGAGTGCCACCTTTACACATACTGTTGAAACTAGAAAAAAGTATAATCACAATTTATACAAATATTTGACATTTTAATATTCAAAATGGGCCAATCACAATGCAAGCGATCCTGAAGACTATTTTGCGCTTTCTCATAGTAGATCAACCCGTCCTATCCTATGTTCTATGAACTATGTGGACTGCCCACTGTTATGACTTTAAAAGATTATATGCATTAGACCAGCAAGAGACGAAGTGAGATGCTTCTGTTGCATAATAATATTACTCACCGTATATAGAATATCATTGCGTTGAAGACTCTTCAAACACTTCAAAAAACAATGGAGTCCATTGTAAACTGCCAGCTCATGAGGTACCTTGAAGATCACCAGCTGATTAGTGACCGCCAATACGGTTTTCGCCGTGGTCGGTCAGCTGGTGATCTTCTGGTCTACCTAACTCACAGATGGGCGGAGGCAGTAGAGTTCAAGGGGGAGGCATTGGCCGTTAGTTTGGACATTGCGAAGGCCTTCGATCGGGTTTGGCACAAAGCGCTTCTTTCGAAGCTCCCTTCCTATGGGCTTCCCGAGAAATTGTGCGATTGGATCACCAGCTTTCTTGCAAATCGGAGCATCAAGGTCGTTGTAGACGGTGCAAGCTCCGATTGCAAGCCTATTAATGCTGGTGTTCCACAGGGCTGCGTGCTATCGCCAACGCTGTTTCTTCTGCATATCAATGACATGTTGCATACCCGTAACATTCATTGCTATGCAGACGACAGCACTGGTGATGCTCTTTACACCAGCCGAGCCAATATTTCTCGGGAAAACGTCTCCGAGTGCCGGGACAAACTTGTGTCTGAAGTCGAGTCTCTGCTGGACAGAGTCTCGGATTGGGGGCGACTAAATCTAGTCCAGTTTAACCCCCAGAAGACACAAGTTTGCGCGTTAACCGCTAAAAAGAACCCCTTTGTCGTATCCTCTCAGTTTCAAGGCGAAACACCATTGTTGCCTCAGCCAGTATCGGAATCCTCGGCGTCGACATATCGAGTGACGTGCAGTTTCGTGGTCACTTGGAAGGGAAGGCCAAATTGGCCTCTAAAAAAGCTTGGCGTGCTCAGCAGAGCGGGACAGTATTTCATGCCGGCACACCGCCTGCAACTTTACAAGGCGCAGGTTCGGCCGCACATGGAATACTGTTCCCATCTCTGGGCTGGGGCTCCCCAGTACCAGCTTCTTCCACTTGACCGCATCCAGCGCAGAGCGGCTCGAATCGTCGACGACCGAGTGCTTTCCGATCGGCTCGATTCACTGGCGCTGCGAAGAGATGTTGCATCTCTTTGCGTATTTTATCGCATCTATCACGGGGAGTGCTCTGAGGAATTGTTCGGATTAATCCCAGCCGCCAAATTTCGTGAACGCACTACACGTCAAACGTCCCGATACCATCCACACCATCTGAATGCTTGGCGGTCCACCACTGTACGTTTCACAAGGATTTTTCTTCCACGTACAACCTCTCTGTGGAATAGTTTACCATCGGCGATTTTTCCGGACCGATACGACCTGGGGACCTTCAAGAAAAGAGCTTACTCCTTTCTAAAGGGCCGGCAACGCACCCGCAATTCTATTAAAAAAAAAAAACTTCACAAATTGATAGACAAAAATAGGTACCTGCATAATAAATCTGCCCATGCTGCTAGCTTTTTTGATTTTGTATTTGTATCAGTATTTTTATTTTCAATTACTGATACACGCTCCCTTACCAAATCCATCAATAAATGCTATGGAAAAAAAATGGATACTATTATAACAACACAGTTAACTAACATTTGTGCACTAAGCACCTATGAGAAAATTACTTTAGTCATATACTAACCTTATCTTCCTCCAGCCAATTTTCACTTCTTTGCCGCTTTTTACATGTAATATTTTCCATTATTTCTATTGAGTTATATATGAGTATAAAACAAATCAATTTCTTGAATCGATTTAACGAAAATACCAGGCTTGTTTTTGGTCACAATTGCTGTCAAACTTTTTTTTACCGTGGCTTGTCTATGGATTCATCAGAACGACAACATAATAAAACTAAAGTATTCCATAAATATGATTTAACTATGACAGGTTTATTGAACGTTTATGAATAGAGAATTTTATAATAGGTTTAATAGTACTCTTGAGCATTTTAACTAATTACTGTTATAACGCCATTTTAGTGGATTTTTATGAATAAGACTGTTAGTATGGGATACTACTTGCGTACACTTTGACAGCATCTCATCTCAAGGGTACCTCGTCTAAAGTAGGGGTGGCATTAGAGTCAACTGAACCAGGTAAATAGTCCAGAGTATCTGGAAGATAAGTACATATTTGTGCAATTTGCTGTAGAGACTATTGGTCCGTAGGGTGCACGTGCGGTGTAGTTCCTAAAAAAACTGTATCTGCGACTGATCATCGCTGCTGGTAATAAGAAGTTGTTTAGTTTCTTGTTTCCTCGCTTGAAGGCTAAGTATAGCCATTCAGTGAGGATACGTAGCCAGCATTCTTGGGACGATACCACAGAAAGTAGGACTTTATGATAATTTCAGTTATTTCTTTTTTAAATATTGTAATTTCAATTTCGAAAATGACGTTGTAAATAACTGATAACTATGTAATTCAAAGTTTATATTCGTTTATATAATCGTACCCTGCGCATTGCTGCCGCAGAAGAAATAATTGTGGAAATATCGTTAAAAATGTGGAACAGTTATAATATTGTTTAATTAGGAATGATAATACAATCATTGAATTAGAATGATATATAACTTTCTATAACTTTCAAATAAATAGTCGGTATAATACGCACGCCACCTAGTGTCAGTTAATTGTACCATGCGTATAACCTTCGCACAAATGCAACCAATAAGTTGACTATGTTTGACCGCAATCTGATGAACGGTATGGCATCGTAGAAAGTACGAACAAACATAAATTTTTATATAGTAGAAACTATTTTACTGTCTATAGACAGACCTGTAGTTGATTAGAATAGGCGTTATTATAGCAGCTGATTTGTTTTTTTTTATAATACTAGAACTAAATGAACGGTTGACAATAAGTTATTCTAGAAATTATGATTTTTATTTTTATTTTCTGTAGTTCGTTTAATCTTAATAATTTTTTGGTTGAATGGTTAAGGGCTATGATAGCTATCCGAGTACAGAACCAGAGTACAAAACTAATCCAACTGTAGAGAGGTGTAAGACGGGGTGACGTTATATCCCCGAAACTCTTTACCGTTGCATTGGAAGACGTTTTCAAGCTATTGGACTGGAAAGGATACGGTATTAACATCGATGGCGAGTATATCACTCACCTTCGATTTGCCGACGATACAGTCCTTATGGCAGAATCGCTGGAGGACTTAAGCAATATGCTCAATGACCTCAATAGTGCCTCCCAATGGATGGGTCTTAAGATGAACATGGACAAAACAAAGATCATGTTTAATGTCCATGTCACACCTATGCCCGTAGTTGTTGGGAGCACTAAGCTCGAAGTTGTTGACGAGTACGTTTACCTGGGACAAATAGTCCGATTAGGTATGTCCAACTTCGACCGAGAGGTCAATCGACGGATTCAACTCGGCTGGGCAGCGTTCGAGAAATTACGACACATCTCGTCAGGCCTATGTTCAGCAGTGGACTTGTGAAGAGTTTTAATGATGATGAATGATAATGGCATTATATTAATATGATACATAAATGGAATGGACGTTACGGGTAGAGTCCATCTATCCATAGAGTCTATTCTATTTATTTAGGTATAGGTAGGGTATAGAATTATTATCGATATAGTTTGGTACACTGTCTTATCCCTATTATTAGTTCCGTGGACGTGTACTTCTGCTGTCAGTGCCAAAATGGCGGAAATCAAATTGCTTCAGCATGTCACGGTGTGTAGCCAGTCCAGCGTACGTGTATATATAGAGGTCAGAGACTTGTATTCATAAAAAGCTAACTTTGCAGTCACTACTCACCGACGTCAGCGCCGCTATAAATTCTACAATTTTCAAGGACAAGCGGGCTATGCTTTATTACGTAGTAATCGTTCTCCTGTTCTCTAACCTTCATGGAGACTACCTTCTTTATATTTTCTATCCTGTAGCCAAAAAAAGTCAGTTACTCTGTCGATTTTCATTTTTAATTTTATTCTACTGCGCATTATTATATTCCATTAACTAAACACTTGTAGACTATAATAGCACAGAGTCCTTTTTGTATACCTATAATAGTATTTAGTGATCTGTGCTGGATACACGCTTTGTACTGTCAAAGGTTTTTGGCGGAGATTTAGCCGACGCTGTCGCTCCGGTTTTGTCGCTTGAATAATGGTTTGAAGTGGATTTTAATTCGTAAAAGTGATAAAATTTTGTGAATTAAGTGTCTGCGCGATCCATTAGAGAAAACAGGGAAACAAGTGATTTGATGTTGATATAAACCTCAAGTTAATTTGATCGCTTGGGTGCCTTATGAACTTGAATGATTGTCGTCATCAATAGTCCACTGGGTCGAGCTGTCGTCAAATTCTCCCAAAAACTTACAAATGTGACGCATCAGCATATTGTGAAGAAAAAAAATATATAAAATGAAGGTTCTGAATGAAATGTTAGGCTCAGAAGGGCTAGTATCCAGAGCCGTAAAGCCAGTTAAATAAAAAAAATTTACTGTCAAATTAATTGCGCCATTTTCGTTCGTAGACTAGTATTTCTGTTATATTACTCTACTCTATGACTAGTATTGGATAGTGATTTGTGATTATCGTGTGCTTGTTGTTGTGCTTTCTTGTATTGATTTTTGGATTTTTCCAAGGTAAGAACAGTTTTATATTATAAAATTGTTATGAAAGTTATAGTGTGGATGTAATTTATCTTTTTACGTAAATAATTTCGAGAAATATAAAGTAATAATAGTGATTTTCACGCTGCCGACATCCGCTTGGTTTCTAACGTATTTTGTTTTCAAAATAACATGGACTTATCAAAATACAATAAAGTCGTATGGTCACCAGCGGCCGCGCCTACTACTCGGGCTGGACTTTCATCCTTTCTAGTTTCAGCGCGGCTTCTGGTTCCAGCCCCAAGCACCGCAGTGGTAGTATCTTGCCCAGCTCCTTAGTGCTGCTCTTGAAAGCAGCATTGTCTGTTTTATTTAAAATATTGTTGATACTAAAATATAGACGCTTTTTTGAGTTAACCGCTCTTCATACTAAATCAAAATACTAATCATATATGTGTCGGGGGAGGCGTAGGCCAAGTAAAGCACAGAAGAAAAGTCTTATGTTCTTATGACAATGGGGGTTTGATATGATGCTGATGCTACCAGATGATTTTGAGATAATAATAACCATAATCTTTATTGCAATCAAATGGTTAACAATAGATGTGATGTTTTAAAAAAAATGTCTGCATTTGAACCCAGTTTGGGTGTAGCAAAATAAAAATAAATATATTAAATATTATTTTTAAACTACAATATTAGATTTCATTAATAAATTACATTATTAGATTATATTATTTTAAAATTCTGTAAATTAAATTAATAATCACAATGTCAAGTAAAAAATAATGGAATAAAAAAATTAAATTATATAGGCACAGGCCGAAGTTGTCCACACAAATTAAAATATTTATATCAAAATATTCATTTAAATTATAGAAACATTTTTCAATTAAATATAACTTTAATTTGGGTAAAAATAATGTAATACTCGGTTTTATTAAAATTAATCTCTAGGTTGTGATGTGTCAGCCAATTTGTAACCTGGTTCAATACTTGATTCAATTTATTATTTAAATTCTGGTCTTTTGTATGCGGAATAAGAATGGAAATGTCATCAGCAAATATAATAGAGGTTTCAGTCAATACCCTAGATTGAGAAAGAAAATCGCACAACACAAAATGTAAAATTGCTCTTCATACCTTAAGAAAAAAATAAACATTTATTATTTGTAATTTTATATTATTAAAATAAAAAAAATCATCATCATCGACGATTTCCAAAATGCGAATGAGTTCTGAGGAATCGTTAATGTTGCACTGCTTTTTCCGCTATTCGTTTATGACGTCATCAGGGTGTATCTATTATGGCGCCTAATGCACTGATAATTGATGACGCACTAAGGATGCGCCAGAGTTGAGATATTAGATTTATTATGCGAAGTTGTTTTGATGAAATTTTCTTTTATTTATGTAGCTGATGATAGTTTTATGTTTCTTACCTTTTGTTTTATTCAAATATCAGTAATAATTTAAAAAATAACACATTTGCGTTTAATTTTGAATAGTGCACACTAGCGGTCAAACATAGACGACTTTGGCGTGCTGGACATAGTATTTGCTTAGATAAAAATCCATTTTTTTTTAGTTCAATGTTTCTTAGTACATGTGGCTCTAGACTTGTTTTTTATACTCACATGTTGCTGGGTTATTCTTTTTTGAGGAGTGTAGAATTAAAATACCAGTAATAATTTTCCAATATCTATATTTCATATTTTTGTGGGCTGGGTTTTTTGTCAACTCTAGACATCGTTGGCGCTCAGAGCTCACAGGTGCTGGTCAAGTATAGGTGACTTTGGCGCTCAAAAGGTTAAGGGTGTAAATATGCATGTGTGTATGTATGAATATATGTTATGTATATATGTATTATATAGACACTAGACAATAGCTTTGACTGCTTAGTGATTAGTACCTTCAGATCTCCTTTCAATTTTCCTGGTCTGGTAGGCTTGTAAATGCTCAGGTTCTGAAAATTCTTAAAGTAACCGTAGTTTCAATCATAGCGTGCATACTGTCAAACTCCATTTGGGTATGGCCCACTTCAAGGTATTTTTGGATGATTGTTACGTTATGCAACATTGCAACATTGACAAGAGCGTTAGTTAAAATTCTATTACTATTTTGATCAGTACATCCATCAGAATGTATTGTGATTTCTCGGTTATCTTCTACCATTTTTGGGATGAGCCTTTCAATGATAAACATGGAGATTATAGTTGCAAACTCGTCAGAGTTTTTTCAGTCTTTTTTCATTCCACAGAAAACAGTAATCATCACCCGTTTTCATATCAATTATGTCGATGTGTGTTGCTCAGACCTGTCTCAACTTCATCTTAATACATTGGGTCGTCTGCTTAACAACTGCATCAGATACATTTATGGTCTTCGTAAATACGACCATGTATCTTCCTTTCGTACACAGTTAAACTGGCTGCCTATCCGTCAGGGCAGATATGTTAGAATACTCTGCACCCTTTTCTCAATTTTGAACGATCCATGTGCTCCCGAGTATCTGGAATCTAAATTTCAGTACCTGGGAGATTCTCATAATTTTTCTCTCCGCTCCTCGGCTAATCTTAAGTTGCTCACTCCTTTACACCGTACTGGTTATTTATCTCACTCTTTCACCCTCATGGCCATCAGACTCTGGAACGACATTCCTCTTGACATTAAAAAAGCTCCTAACAAATTCGTTTTTAAAAATCAAGTCCGTAAGTATATGATTAAATCATTGCAAGTTTCTCCTTTTCGTATATATTTCATATATATATATATATATATATAATATTTTATCCTTTCTATTTGATTATTGCTGCACCGCCTCCATAATGTCTATCTATGTTTAGCCTAATGGTTGACTGGGAGAGACTGCCCTATGGCATTAAGTCCGCCATATGTACTTTTTTGTGCATGAAAGCATAAATAAATAAATAAATATCAATTAATACACCAGTTGTGCACACAAAGCTTTGTTTTATAATAATGTGAAGATACGGACCATGGTGCTAAAATCACCGCTTGTAGATCTGCCGTAAACACAAATTCTTTTTCTTTTATATCTGATTCTTTCTCTGCTCTTGCTGCTACTTTTTTATTCACATGCCCATCATTGTCATCCTTGATAGTTTTTTCCTTGTATCCATTGCAAATGTCACACTGGTCTTTCTTTGGTTTGAATATTGATATTTTTGTGACGTTTAATGTATTTGAAAATGTGGCAATCCACAAAGGCTTAGCATTTTTATCGCTGCAGTAGCTTTTGTAAAGGTCGTACAGTTGTCGCTTTGGCTCGGTATCGGGCTGTAGGTAGGACTGTGTTGTTCTTTGTCCGCAGAAATGCGAAGGCTCGTAGTTGCGTGTTCATCAGTGTTTTTTTTTTGGATCGTGTCTTCCATTCCCAAACATGGTTTTCCTGTAGAGAAAGTATTAAGGAACAAGGTTTTGCAGACCCTTATAGTATCTTCACCTTTCTTTAAATAGTAAATAAAGGTGTTCACTCGTTTTGACTCCTCGGGAGTTTTTCTGTCTCTCTGCCTGTTAGTATGAATGACTTACAAAATGTTCAATGTACACGTGTTTTTCATCCGAAGTCACATCCCAGAATTTATCAAATAGCTTTCTTCTATCCTCTTCAGAAATCAGATAACATTGAATAACACTTTTGGTTTTTTCTTTACAAGTACATCTTAGTTTTAATATTCTTTTTGGTTTCATAATATTTTTTTCCATTCATTGTCTACTTTTTTTTTTGCTTAAGTATTTTTTTTTCCCTTTTCCCTTTGAGAGTTATTTCGCAACATAACTTGGTGAAATTTAGAGTGCTTTGCAATTGAAATTAGTGGGAAGTTCAAGGGATGGTCTGCAGGGTCAACCAATTTTTCATTTTATAATAGGCTCATCGGGTCCAGAATCTAAATCACTAATCGACTAGTTTTTTAAAGCATAGAACTGGAAATAAAATTCAATAACAGTATATTCATCTGAGTTATCAGGCAGTGCAAAAGATTGTGGGTAAGCATCATAAGATGCGATGGGCAACGGATCATAGTGCTCTATCACATCATTATAAGGTTTAGGAAACTAGTTATTGAGAAATAAAGCAGTACAAGGATTAGCAGTTTCATTAAGATCGTTTCTGATATGATTTTCATGTTGAAGGCCAAGCAGAATTTTTCTGGTCCGCAAATGTTTAGCAGACATCTAACCCACATGAAACAAAATAAGCGAATAAACAAAAAGCATACCTACTAAAATAAATTTTAATTAGGTTAAAACAATGACAAATTATTATAGAAAAATAGTTTTAGGTTCACAATGAAATTGTTAATTGCAATTTTTTTGCTCGGTGAAGGAAAAATCGTGAGGAAACTGCATGTCTGAGGAATAATAAAAATTTGAATGAGGAGGGGAGTTAGTGTACTCTTTACTTTATTTTAGCACTCTGTGAGCAAAATATGACGATGAGATTAAATTAGGTTAACTCCCAACATGTTCCCAGAAAAGTAAAAGAAAAATAGCTAACTCCATGCTTGTAATGAAAACACCATAATACCTTAGAAAAACTGGATGTAATGCAAAAGAAATGCAAAATAAACATACCTTGAATAAATGGAGAACCAATGAAGCATTTGATATCTTCTCGACCTTATTTTTTTAACTTCGAAAAACCGGAGCAGCACGCGTGTTTCTCTGCGACGCCATACAAAATAGCCGATCTCCGGGAGTTTGCTGTCAAAATCGTGGCGTTCCGTTATGCGTGGAGTTAGCTGGTTGTCGAATAGCAATTTATTCAAAAAGTAGGGATAAAAATGGAGTGATTGTTCCTTCAAATCATCCGTTAGTCATATAGGCCAAAGACTACATCAAAAAAGTATTTTGTATAAAAAGTGGAGTTGGCTGGTTTACGGATTAAGGTATCAATATCCTTCATTGAAAATAGATATTAGATTATAAACGAATGTAGTGATTGAATTCAACAGTAAATATTTTTTTAATTTTAACTCGAACTTTCTGCACTATTTTTCTTTATGAACATGTTAACAATGTATGTCACGATTTAAACCGGCGAATGCCTAATACTTGAGTCATAAATAATGAATCACAATCAGTAACGTTTGCATGAAGTACCTAAGTATTGTATGGTGCACACAGGCTTGATTGACAACCCTAACCCACAATTGCAAATTTCCATATTTCTGAAATCCTGGGTTTGTTGCATCTGTTTTTTTTTTGTGGCCATAGTTATTATAGTGATCAACATTTAGGCATTAAAAAAAAGCGACTGTGAAGAGAATCGCCAGAAAAAAATAATTACATAATCATAGAAAAAAAGAATATTCTCACCTGTGAGCAAGATTTTTAAAGTTTTCAAGAAAAAAATGGTACCTATAGTGAATTCCTACAACACCTTAAAACATTTAGTGTAAAAATCAAATCCAAAAACGAGATATTTGCTTCTATGGTTTTTAAGGATTTTTCTCGATTTTATTAATTTCTCTCATACTATAGTAGTTAGAGCCAGGGGAGTTTTAATAAGTTTTGTTTGATTATTAGCTTTTCAGAAAACACATAAAACAAGCTTGTCTGCAACTGATGCATAATAACACACTGTGCTGTGTGATATACAATGTGGTGTTAAAATATATTTTTTTATTATGTATTTCATATTATAGATGTCAACTTGGAGAATAAAGGAAGAGCCGCCCGCAGACTTCGTCAGCCAGCTTTATGCTGATGATAATGAAGATCTTGCGGAGGACAGTGAATTCGAATCATATGATGATGAGGTCAGTATCCGCATTTATGTGTTTTATAATTTGTTATTATTATTATTGTAAAATGTTAAGTGTGTACATTTCTTCCACATGATTGAGCGAACATGCAAAATAAAAAAAAGGAAAGTAAAACATGTATGCAATAATATGGTGCTTTATAAAGTCACATCATCTTGTTGCAAACATGTAAATTAATCGCGCAGGCATTTGCATCACGCATATCGCGTCGATTTTCACTAATGTTTTTTTAATATCTTTTTTATGCCTGGTTTGCACTAGTCTCACTTAAAGTGACATTGCTTTGTGACAGACATGATGTGAATTAACCGTGCATGCGGTGTCATCACGCATATTGCGTCGGTTTTCACTGGTGTTGTGTTTGTTTTATCAAGTTACTTCCGGTATTATGTTTTGATTTGTACTAATCTCACTTACTTTGCCTGATTTACATGTGCATTACGTTTTTTGTGTTCGGTTGAAATGGTTTAACAAGCACACTATTGCATGTTTTAAGAGGAAGATGCGCTGAATAGACTAATATATGCTTTTTGTATGTTTAGGAGGAAGCCGCGCGCGCGTTGTCACCTGAGGCTCTACCTTACTCTCCTCTTACATCACCTGGACGTCACGATCAGCCCGGTAATGATGTGGAAGCAGTTGGATTCAAGGTGATGCATTTTTTGTGTTATGTTTGCTTTGATACCTACTGAATTTTGTATGTTTTGGTGAAGTGATTTTCATGGATATTTTTGTTTTTACCTATGTTTTAGGAAGAGAATCGTTTCCCTACCACATCTCCGGAAGGCCGTGACAGGTCTCCTATTAGACCATACCCGCCATGTGCATTGTAAGTTTCATTTATTTGTATTTATTATTATTGATGAAATTGACGTGGAGTAAAAGTAATTTTTTTTTGCAGAGAACCAAGGGTGGTTATTGAAATATTAGATGAAGACGGCGGCGTGGATGACGTCATGGACGACGTATTTTTAGCTCCGGATGCCCATGCAATGTTTGTGTCCCCAGGAACGGGTGAGAGGCGGCAGAGTGGAAGAAGGGGTGCTCGTAGTGTGGTTGGGCGTGGGCGTGGGCATCCGCAACGGTGTCGTAGGGGGCGACAACAGTGGGAGGTGGGACTTCCACTGTGTCAAGTTTATTTGACTGATGATGATGTCCCCCCTGAAGCGGTAAGTTTGGCGAGTGATGTTATGTGGAGACGTGAGATGAGAATAGGAGATGCTGCTAGAGCCGAAAGTAATAGTCAGGGAGGAAGTAGAATGGAAAGAGGGAATGCAAGCGAGAGCGAAGATGAGCATGAATTTTTTATCGCCAGTGATGGAACGGATGGTCCTCTTCGGCTGGAAGGCCAGAACCTCCAGTTTGAATGGTCTCCTATGGACTCCTTCCAAGGTCAGGAGGAGAATTTTGTACCAAAGCGAACTGGTTCGGTTCAGTTCTACAATTCGGCATATGATGCTTTTCGTTCCTTTTGGGGTGATGACATTTTGGGCCACATTGTAGCTGAGACGAACTCTTACGCTACAAAAATTTCTTCTGCCGCTTTCCAGTCCGATTGGTATCCCACTAATATTGACGAAATTTTGTGCCTCTTTTCGTTCTGGATGATGTTAGCGATCATCAGAATGCCAACTATTACTAGTTGTTTTTCTACAGATCCGCTTTTGAAAACAGATATTTTCAGAACCATTTTCACCCGAAAGAGGTACGAAAACTTAACAAGAGCATTACATTTTATAGAGTCTGACCCCGCTTTTAATGATGGAAATCCATCCAACACTGGCGCTGCTAGAAGGCTGGATCAAGTACACCGTTTGAGGCCAATTATTACACATTTGAATGAAAAATTTCGATCAAATTATGTTTTAAATAAAGATATTTGCATTGGCCAGAGTTTGACCCTATGGAAAGGAGGATTGGATATCAAACAGTATATTCGGTCTAAAGCTGCTAAGTTTGGGATCAAAACTTTTGAACTCTGTGAGAGTGTCACGGGCTATGTCTGGTCCCTTATTGTTTACACTGGTAAACAATCAATTACAGACTTGGATCAGTCACCCGGTGTACTTAAAAGTACTGCAGTAGTGAAAAAGCTCATTGGTCCTTTACTAAACAAAGGATACAGATTATTTATGGATAATTGGTACAATTCACCACTATTAGCTAGGTTTCTAAAGCTCAATGGTACTGACTGCGTCGGTACTTTGAGAGCTTCTCGCAAAGATGTTCCCGTTGTAATAAATAAGGCTCCGCTTAGAAGGGGACAGATTGTTGCTAGACATTCTGGCGATGTTACAGTGTTAGCATGGCAAGACAAAGAACGAATCACCATGATTTCTACATGTCATGATGCATCAATTGCCTTGCCTACAGTTACGTCGCGGCCTTCGTCTCGTCCAGTACCATTCAAACCGCAAATGGTACTGGATTACAATAAGTTCATGGGAGGGGTAGATTTGAAAGACCAGATGCTAGAGCCTTATTTATTCGAACAGGAACGTGGTGCCAAGTGGTACATGAAGCTTTTTAAACATCTAATCAACTATTCTATCCACAATTCTCGCGTTCTTCTACAGTCATCAACACATAAGCTGCATGATCATCTTGCTTTCCGTCTTCAACTTGTCGATTCCATCCTCACCCACCATTTATCACGCTGTCCGCAAAGACGAATGTTCAATGCGTCCTCGTCCAGATCTGCGCATCAACAACCTATTAGAAACACTCTTTCTGCACATTGGCCTGCTCCACTGGATCAAACTGACAGCAGCATAACTGCCAGCCGAAATTTCAGAAAGCGCTGTGTTGTTTGCCTTCGTGAAGGCAGAAAGTCGTCAAAGACATCTTTCTGTTGCGAAGCTTGTGGAGTACCTTTATGCATAAAAGGATGTTTCAAATCATACCATACATCATAATCCTCATCATCATCATTATGCTTTTTTCTTCTTTTTTGATCTCAAATAACCCTAAAATAACTATTCTGATTGGTATTTTATGACAGTAGTGGATCTGGTATGAATTTTAGTGTGTATTGTTAGTGATTGGCTTTGTGCGTTGTTTTTTTTTCACCTTTTAAAACATATTTGTTAATTTTTTATTAGACAGGTCTTATAATTTTTTTAAAATTCTGCTTTTACCTTGGCCCAACAAAATAAATGTTTGAGTTTAAACAAATAATTTATGCCTCTTAGATTGCCTAAGAATAAAATGATTTTAGTGTTAAGTCCGTCTTTATTGTGATCAATATTTAAAGAGCAAATATCAGTGGAAGACTGTCGTTGAATATTCAAAACTGGTTTTTTTTTTAGTTTTAAAAGGTTACATAAAATTCTAAATAATTTTTATAATACTACATTATTTGTAGTCTCGATAATATCTGGATCAAATAGTCAGAAACAAAAATTGTTATCGACATTTCTCTTGATTGCTACACACATCTTTTACTGTAACATTCTTTTACTCTAGAGTTGCCTGGAAGACATATATTTTAGAAATAAGACCGCCCATCGTACTTTTTACTTTTTAAGTTACGTGTTTCTGTACTTATGTTAAGCAATAAAGTGAACTGCAATATCAATTGTAACAAATAAGCTGTAATATTAAAATGTAAATACAGTGGATTTCGGGTATAACGACGATGAAGGGACCACTCTATTTTCATCGTTATATCCGGAACTCGTTACAGGCAAAGGTAAAGAGATACAGGTACACATGTATAGTTTATATTCATTTATTATTGAAAATATTTGCACACATAAGGTACGTTGGGGTAATACCGGACAGATTTTTGAATAGTTGGAATTGGAAGAGTCTGCCAAAAACTTTAATTTCTCGACAGAACTGGTCTGGAACATGGAGCAAATCGTTAATTGTTAAACGTAGTTTAGCTCTGAGAATATTTTGCTTGTGTAAACTCAACGGTTTCTGCTTTAAAAGTGTGCGAAAACTTGACATACTTTTTTATATCCATAATGAAAAATTGGCCATCAAGGGGTAAGACTGGACTTAAATTTAAAACCACTTCTACTGCTTAGAGAACAAAGTTTATAAAAGGGATTTGTCCTGTCTTTAACGCTCAAAAACATATTTTAATATGATCTTTAAATTACTAGAAACATAAATGTTCCAAACGATTTTCTCTTTTTTTGTTTCTTGGCATCCGATCTTATCCCTGATATAAAGAAATTGTAATTTTATGGTTCTCAAACTTTGTTATGACAAGATGTAATTACTCAATATAAGTTAGTAATTAGTTAGTTAGTTAGTAAGATTTTTTTTGGAAAAAAAATAACAGTAAGGACGGGCGAAATGCCCTGGGATAATATAGGAGTAGAGATTGATAGATTATTTTGTATGCATATTTGTATGTGTATCAATAAGCAGGCGTGAGCCTATTTATAAAGTTAATTAGAATCAGAATAAGGGCGTGAAGTCGGAAAAAGTAAAGCAAAGTTGACTAGACCAGGAAAAGGAACGTGGGTTGAAAGTTTCCCGTGAAACTGAATCAGTTCTAAACTTTATTTAATGAGATGAGATAAACGTTATCTGATGAGATAAATGTGTGAAGGAATAATTTTTGTAAGGATCACTGTTTTGACTTAGGATAAAACGATAGACAACAATCAAAATCAAGAAAATAATATGCGTTTGAGAATATTTTATTTATTTTTTCCTTTGTTATTCATAACTTTTTAGCGTAGCTCACTAAATAAGTAATAGTAATCAAGTTAACTATAACACCACTTTATAAAAATTGTTACGTAGATGTATCTTGTTAATAACAATCTATATTGAGCATAAGCCTATTAATATTACTTAACCTTCGTTTTGGCATTAGAATGTATTCTAGATTAAACATTAAAATGAGTACTTATCAATAAATAAATGCGCTATCGAAACAGGTCTAATACCGTTTTCAATTAGTTTGCACATAATTTTCGCGTTTCAGTCTTTATAAAGAACTCTTTACATAATAAACTTACAAAATAAACAAATAAAATATTTAAAAATGAGATCAAAAAACGTAACAATATTATCATAATCTAACATAATAAATAAACTTTTCATTAGGAAATTTGGCAGGCATGCTATCAAATTAAAATATTTTTTCAATAAACCTTTATAAAAATGATCGAGTAAATGTATTTTGTTATTAACGATCTATGACAAGTATTTGGCATAAACGTATTAACTACCGTTTTGGCATTAAATTGTTCTCTTAGAATTAAGGTACAAAAATAAGTATTAAATTGTTCTCTTAGAATTAAGGTACAAAAATAAGTAGCGACATAAATAAATGCTATATCTTTAAGCGATTAACAAAATAATATAAATTAAAAACAAATTATGCGGGTATCAAAAAGTTATACCTACACTAAAGTTAAAAACATCTAACGTAAAAATTATTAACTCCTCTTTAACCAAACTTTATAGGCGCGCTACTGAATTAAAATATTTTTTTATTTTGTTCGGCACTGGACAGTACCTAGTAAGTATCCAGCTATTAGATAGAAAATAAATAATGTTTCTTTTTTTCGGTTTTACTTAAATTTAATCTACTGTTACTGTCATGTAATGATGCCATGCCAGGGCAGTTTAACTCTAAGAAAAATTTATAAATAATGTAAAAACACGGGCATTTCTAAAATTCAATATTTTAAAAATAAATTGCATCTTCATCATTCATAAGGATGTACTCCTCAGGATCCTCCTTTATTTGCAGTAACCCTATTTCCTTAACTATATTATAATCAGGAATACAATCTTGATCCTTACGCTTAGGAATAACAAATTTCAGGTCATCTTTTTTGCCAATGGTTTTATAATATGTTATGGTGTATTTTCTTGGGTTTAAATTAATATTCTCAATGACACCGGCATAATATTTCCAAGCCTTTTTATGGTATCGAACTAGAACTTTATCCCCAATATTGTATGTTGGTTTCAAATTGGTAATATCATCTTTATCTCGTCCACCGTCATTTGTATGAATTCCAATATGAAAGTTGCTACAGGCGTTCGTTTCATTTTTTGTCATTATTTTTACCGGATTATCCATTTTTTATTTTTTTCTTAGATGTATGACCTATGTCTGTATTTTGTAGTTTTTTCTCCTTTAAATCTATAAATATATCCCTATCTATGTTAATAGGTTTAAGTTGTAAACTTCCGTGAGTTTTGTAGAAAGCTTGGTTTTCAGGTGTCAATTTTACGGATGATAACATAGTCACTTTTTGCGTTGCCTTATCTAAAGTATTTATATAATCGCTATCTTTGTCTTTCCAAATATCTTTTGTCTCAATAGTTTCGTCGCAGGTGTTGCAGGTCTGTGCGGTTTTTTCTACTTCCTGTAAATTTTTAACAATTTGTTTAATTACCTGATCTTTAGATAAAGGTTCTAATTCAGTCTTTTTTCTCTCATAATTTAAGTCAGTCTTGTTCCATGTATCAAAGTTATCAGGTAATATATCACTGAGGCAATCTAATAAGTCAGAATCACTATGTACACTCATTTCAATGCTTTCATCTGTCGTGGTAATGCTAGGAGTCCTCTTACGTTTTGTTACAGACTTTTTTGTCGTAGATTTTTTTTCCTTCTTTTGTGATGCCCATTTGTTTTTTAGTCTTGGTTTTTTGTTTATATCAGGGTCGTTTAAAACTGTTAAACCCATTAAATCGTGTGTTAAATTGTTAGAAAAATAGTTCTTATCAACTCCAGAAATAAGATTTTCTTTGTCAGTCCGAGTTTTCTTTCCTGTACCTTTTCCTTTTTTAGTAGTATATCTGTTATAATTTGTCTTGTCTGTCAAACGCTTGTTTTTTCTCTTTCTTTTGCCAGTTTTTGTTTATTTGTCTCTTGTTGTTTTTCTAGAAAAGATGCAGTAATTACTTCCGCACCCTTTGCTATACGTTTTAATTTAAATTTCATATTGGTCTGAGGATGCTGTGTAGCTTTTGCGAGAAGTAATTCTTCGAAGGAAATATTTACTGGATGCGACTGCTCGATGCTCTCTTTAGAGTTTAGAGTAAAGGAATTCATTGTTTCAGAATGAGGGAAAGTAGTATTTAGAGCAGAAGCTGCTCTAAATACTACTTTATATATAAGACACGATTTTGTTTATTTCGTCTAAGCTTATGTGTTTCAGGGATTTTGGTTGATTGCAAGTCGCTAAGAGATAATGTGCGCTTTTTCCATCGCGCATATGCTTTAGGGTCATATTTTTCGTTTGGTATTATGTCGGCATTAAAAGGGTAAATGCCGCCTTTTCTGAAACCATTTCGGATAATCTCTGGTTTCGTTTCTTGCCACGCTTCTGCAAACATTTCGGAAAAAAATTGTTTCCGTAATTTGGAACCAACGTTTTGCCGCTGCCATTGTACGAGTTTCTTGTCCCAGGTGGCTTTGAATGATTTGAAGACGGACAAATCTAGCGGTCGCAATAAATGCGACGTGTGCGCGGGGGAACTTCACTATAGTAATATTGTTTTCAACGGCTAAAGCTACCACTTTATCATCAACATGACTGACATGTCCATCGTACAACAACAGTACGGGTCTTTCTTCACCTAAATTGGAAATAATTACGTTTAACATGTAGTTATAAAAAATGCTGGTTTCCATCCAGCCCCGTTGACTGGCAGCGTATGTAAGTTTGAAATTATATTTGTCTGGATTCTTCACCATCCACTGTTCATACATATGTTTGCCTTTTTAATATAATCAATGGGTCTAACTTTTGCCCAGCCGCATTCACAGTAGTCAAGACTGTGATATTTTCTTTTCCGTTTCCATACGTTGTTCGTGTTCGTGTCAAGGCTTTCCTTTGGCACCTACAACTTTTGTTTTTGTTGGGTCGAGACAAATAGACGTTTCATCTAAGTTCCATATACGCTTAGGATCAGTAAGATTCAAGTCACGAAAAGTCTTTTGTAAAAGAGCAAAATATTCGTGGATGACAAATGGATCGGTCATTTTTCTTCTAACGTACTCGACTGCTTGCGGTTTTTTTATTGATAAATTGTGCCGCTGACGAAAAGAAATGAACCAATCAGGTCCGGGTCTGCCATTTTTGAAGGAGGTATCTAAGTTATTGCTTATGGTAAACTCCTGAGCTACATCGAGTACCTCTTTTCTGAATAAGCCCCAACACCATTTTTCCATCACACGTAGAGACAGTTTGCAAGCTTGATTTTCAATTCTATTGGGATTGCGGTTGATCTGCCGAGGGTCTTGCTTTTTGTTGCTGTTTTTTTTCAAGACTCTATCACTCAGCGTGGATGTCGGTATACCGTATATTCGTGAAGCGGCTGCGTAGGAGATTCCTTATTTTTAATTCTTTGAATGGCAATTTCCAGGACTTCTTGTTTGTACGAAGTCGCACGCGTTGTAGTTCTAGTATATTTTCGAGGCATCTGCGGATAAAATTTTAAAGTAAGTAATGCGGCCGTGGCACTGAGTGCATCACAGCGTAAACCAGTTCAAATATATCAGCATCGCACAAAATATATAAGTATATATATCTAAATAACTAAGTCCTGTCAAAACCAGAACCGATTTTGAAGATGAAGATTAGTTTCGAAGATTAGTTCTAAATAAGTTTTGTAATTATCAGTAGTTGAAAGGCATTGAGTTAATGAATAGATATGCTGGTAACCCTTAATAAAGCTAAATATTACAATAAAACGTAAGTTAGCAGAATATAAACACGAAAATTTTAATTTTAGAGGTCATTTCACCATATTGCTTCGCTAAAAAATGCTAATAATTATATATTTATTTTATGTGTATTTAAAAGTGATAAAAACATCGTATTGTTTTATTACTTTTAAATATACAGACTTGATAACAATCCTGAGTCCCATAGTCACTTGAGTAATCTCCGAAAAAATATACACGACCAATGAAAGTTTAACAACCACTGCCATATTTGTAACGGGCAAAGATCGGATAATATTCATCCGATCTTCACTCACGCGGGGAAACATCGGATCTCGGCCTACAGCGATCTTAGCCCTGCTTGGACCAGCTTTATCTAGTTATAACTTAATAAAACTTAGTATTCACACAAAATAATAACAAAAGAAGCTATATTCTCGCTAAAAATCATAAATAAAAGTGATAGGGTAAGATGGGATGGAAAAAATAAATACAAAAATTACCTTGTTTTATAAAATGCCGCGCAGCACACGTCCCACTTCTCGGATCGACTGGCGCGAACTGAGGGTCGGGGCAGGATGAAATGGCGTCGTGTAGCATAATGTTAGCATTTCAAAATATAGCATAATTCGCCGGGAATTTGAATCCTACGGTCTTGCCCCATCACCGATCTTACCCCAACGCACCTTAGTTATTCACTGATACATTTTTAAAAAAAATGTGTGAAATTAGTTTGTTTCAATTTACTTTTTTGTGTCAGTGTACGCTGTAGGGTGTATTCTATTTTCATAACTTCTTCAATATCTATAATATCCTTTCCATCACCAAATAAACAGTTTCTTTTAAGCTTTGTTACTAACACATCCTTAGTTGTAGGAATGTCGCCTTCCTTGCAACCTTTTTCTTCCTCCTCATTTTCATCATCTTCACCATCGGACAAATCGCTAGTAGTTATATGTTGACTGTCAATATCGTCACTGTTTTGTAGAAAGGGCGAATATACGTTATTCGCCATTTTGCATAACAAAACAGTGTGATGTTTCACCCGCGTATATCATGTGTCTGCGCCGTGTGACTTGACATGACACCTTGCTTATTTAGTTCAGTCATTTTAGCTAAAAAATTGGCAAAATTCATGTACTACTTTTATCTATCGGCATATGTACGTTATACTATAGCCTATGTTCACCAGGGATAGTTTTGAAACCTATTCAATTCAAACAAACAATTTTTTTCTCTTTATAATATTATAAGCGTAGATGTAGGTGATGATATATGGACGAATTTGATTAAATATAGCCTTTTGTGGCACCTTATTTTGGTCTCTTTTTGTATTAATTTGTTTCTTGTGTGCATATAAAGTATGTATATTCATTTTCATTCCAATATTCAGATCGTTCAAATATATTAAGTAAGCATTAATATTTTTGTTTTATTAAACCTTTTTAATCAGGTACTACTTGCAATAAAAACTTATAGATTTCATTATATTTTTTTCGAGAACAAATTGAGATTTCATATCACTATTGTAATATGTCAAAACACTCGTCATAGCGTTCTGCAACTATAATTATAAATATATCAATATGTGGAGTTTATTCTATAAGTTTATTAATCGATATATCGAAAATCCGATATTTAAAAAAAAATATCAACATTCCTAGTTTGAACTGATGAGTTGAAATGACCACAGACTAACTAGTGGGGGAATGATCAGTTGAACTGACCGTGTGTGTCGTCCATTCAAAGATTTCAAAACGAAGGATAGGCCCATTTAAATATTTTACTCATAACTTTTTCATACAAGAAAAAGTAGCGCATCTGTCACAATACAAACTTCATATCAAAACACGACGTAACCAGGGTCGGATTTCGTAGTATAATTATTCTAATTGTACCATTATTTCATAGTTTGTAGTACATAGTATCGTAATAATACTACGCGAAAATACCACAATTTTACTATTATAACTATTTTAATATTAACCCTACAATATCGAGAATTTCTGTGTTGTCCATAAGTACTGCGTTTTTATAATAAAATTAGAATTAGCTCCCTTTCTGGTCAATCGATGCTCGATCGATCCTTTTCTTTTGTACTCTTTTCGTTTTACCCTTATTGAATATAAAATATATTAGGTACCAATATTCAAAATTTAACTTAAACTAAGTTCTTTAGACAAAAATTAAACAGAAATAAAAATAAAACCGTCAAAAAACGAAACGTATAGATAAACTAGACGCGTGACGCCAAAATCCCGGCACATGGGAAAAAAGAAATATGAAACGTCAAACGTGATATAATTTTTTTTAAATAGTATAATTTTATTTTCCATGTACAATATTTTTGAGTGCCTGAATCCAACCCTGGCCTAATCTTGGTAACGTAACTAAACTAACTGTAAAATAAAACTAAAAGTGCGTTTATATAATTTAATTGTAACAAAATTAATATAAGGAGTAATTTTCTCAGTTTTGTAAGCCTTAATTCTAAAATAAAACTAATTATCTAGGTATTATATTCTTGTAAATGACGTCTATAATCTTTTTGTCTAAGTTACAGACTGCCAGCGTAAAATATAAGCGTTATGGTGCTGTGTTTCGTATGGTGAGTGTAGAGAACGGAAGACCCTTTTTTACTGGAATCAACGCGTTCCATCTTAGTCCTCAGGACAGTGACAACGCATTTGAATTTTGGTTATTAATTGAGGATAAATGTGGAAGTCTATGGGCCACAGCATCCTCTTATCATCAGGTGGATTGTGCGCTCGTTTGTCGCCCAATGCTGTAAAAATACATTGGCTATTTCCTTGATCTTGTACGTATGCGAACCGTGTACGTGAAAGGAATGGCACAATTATCTAATAAAGAATAAAAGCTAAGACATAAAATGAAAAATAAATAATGGTTAGCCAGATATAAAAAATGAAATAAATGAAGTTAAAATAATAAAAAATGAGAGGAGTATGAAGAAATAAATAAGAAAAGAGCATTTTAAAATTAAATGCCTGTACAATTATACTAGATGTTCGCGAATTTAAACATATGTTTAAATTCGCGAACATCTAATTATGTGAAATTATGTGAAATTTGTAAGTTGTATTTATGCATCATATTAATTCTATTGTGGAAATTTCTATGAGGCCCCCTCGCCAGGCCTCTGTCACTCTTGCTACCTGCGTGAAATCATTACTTAAAATCGCGACGCACCCAGAGTGAAATACGCAGTCGGGGATAGCGCGTTGTAGGCGATTGAATGTTAAAGTTTTGAACGCTGTTTGAACAAACGCAAAATATTGATGGAAAGATTTGATATCGTGAGGGCAAGATATACTTTTTTACGGCAAGTGAAAGAAATTGAAAATTGGTAAAATGTTGTTTTTGGATGAAATATGGCTTAGTTGAAATTGTTTTTGTTTAGTGTTTAGTATATTTAATTGTAGTGATTTAGAGGAGTATAGTGAACATGAAAGTGGTATAAATCATGAAGCAGATGACGAATCATCTACTGATACACCCTCAGATTTTGATGAAGTTCCACTATTAGATAAAGAACTGCAGCCAACAGATGATGAAGTTAGGTTTACGAATCAGATCATCCATAATGTCATTTTCAAGTGTCGGTGTTCGATTGGCGAAGGAAGATCTTGCTCGTACGTATATTCCATTACACCAAAATTGCACTCAGTTCATTTGTCTTTACCAATATACTTTCCTTGCTCATCCCAGCCTATGCACGATGCATTTCATTCAATTGGCGGGGGTCGAACCCGGGTTACTCTCGTTTATCGGCAAACGCTTAGCCTCTGAGCTACGTCTTACCGGTCTTTCCTGATAATTAAAAAAAAACACGAAAAATGTTTTATTAGTTTAATGTGCTTTTTTGGTTAATTAGTACAAATAAGTTTAAAATTAATTATAACTCATCCTTTGCAAACATTATATACAAATTTATTGACAATATTAAAAAGAGATATAATATATTAAAAATACAAAGTACTTATGTGCCATTGCGATTACTAAGTACATTTAGTTTTTTTGGCGAGTTCTAGTTAACTGAATGAGGGAACTGTACATTTGTTTATTCTATCACATACGTATATATTACGTAGATTATTGTTTTTTGTGATCAAATAAAATGTTTGTACCTCACAGTCAAAAACAGTTGTATGCAACGTTGCATTTAAAAGCTTTTATGATCTTTGTAAATATATTACTAGCAATATTGAACATTCATGATGTGAAAATAACGGGTGTTCGCTGGCAGATTTTACACTTTGCATCGTGCTCACAGCGTGTAGCAAGGCGGTGGGGGGTGGGGGGTGGATAGGCGGGGTATCGTTCGACGCGGGAGTGTTGCGGGTTGTTTAGTAGCCATGAGTCAGTGGACGGGAGCGCATCGCGCTTTCGCTGTCGAGGCCTATTTTGCGAACAACAATTCGATCAATGTGGCGAGGCGTTCTTTTAATTCTCACTTCGGTATCCGCCGATTAAAGGATAGTCCGTTGAATCAACTGATGTGGGCGTGGGTCAAGAAGTTCAAAGAAACTGGATCAGCCATAAATGAGCTTCGGCCTGGACCTTCAACGTCTGTAACTACGCCTGAAAACACAGAGCTTGTGAGAAGGGAACTTTTGCGAAATCCTCGCAAATCTACCCGGAAGATTGCAGCTGCAACAGGTGTAAAAAAAACGTCAATTTACAAAGTAATTCGATAAAAGATGAAGTTGCATCCATACAAGCTTCAAATTATCTAGCAATTAAAAGAAGATGACTACATAAAGAGGCAGACTTACGCAAGAGTGTTTTTGGAACGATTTTCTACGCCTACGCGTATGTTTAACATCTTTTTTAGTGACTAGGCGCATTTTCACCTTGGAGGGTATGTCAATAAACAGAACATGCGATATTGGAGTGAGATCAACCCAAATGAAGTCCATCAAAAACCTGTTCACAGCCCGAAGACCACGGTTTGGTGCGCCATTTCTGGAAATGGTATAATTGGCCCGTATTTTTTTAACAGAGGTGAAACTGTTACTGCAGAGCGGTACCGCGCTATGTTGGATATTTTTTTATACCCGAGCTGCATCGTCACGTCGGCTAACAGAACTCACTTTAGCAGGAAGGGGCCACAGCACACACCGCCCGGGAGTAAATGATTAAAGTGAGAGAGCTTTTTCCTGGAACATTAATAAGTCGATTCGGCGACGTAGCTTGGCCCGCTAGATCTCCAGATCTGACCCCTTGCGACTTTTTCCTCTGGGGATATCTCAAGTCTCGCGTTTACAATAATTCTCCATCAACAATAAACGCCTTACAAGAAAATATCCGCCGCGAAGTTCAGGCTATCAGTACAGCACTTTGCAAAAGAGTTTTCACCAATATGTGGGAAAGATTGCAAGAATGTTTGTGACTAGAAGGACGTCATTTGAGTGGAGTAATTTTTAAGAAGTGATTTCTGCACTATCCTTTTGTAAGAAAATAAATAAATAATTTAGATTATGTCAATACTTTTATTTTATTTTACAAAGTGTAAAATCTGCCGGCGGACACCCTGTATATTAACTAGAGCAACAAAAAATTATTTCAATTCAATACCTATACATGTACTAGCGTAGCAATGATAATAGTGGGCATTTCTTAGATAGGAACCAGCTAGGTAATATACTAGTTTAATTTTTTAATGTCAACGAATATTTATATAAAAGTAAAAATAAGTAAGTCAGCTTAAAGCTTCTTATACTTATAAGTATCTAACTTTTATTGTAAACAATCAAAATTAGGTGACATCATTTATTCAGAAGAGACTAGATGTCAACCAACTTCTATTTCGCATTTTTATGTGTAATTTAAGTGTAAGTGTAAGTTAATACTTAAAGTATTTAAAATAGTATGATTGTTTCTCCAAACATAAATTGAACTTGAACCGATTCTAGAAATTTACGGGACTAAAGACAGTTCTGAACATAAAATAATATGCATTTACGTTACAATTTTTTTAATCAAAGAAATATTACTTCTTACTGCAATAATATGTGTGTACAATATGATACAATAGCAACCAAGTCAAGTTATTAATTAATAGCACGAGATTGTGATCAGTCCCGAACTTGATATAATATCACAAATAAACGTATAATTTATTATTCAAGGTCCTCAATTAAAGAGTCTAATTCCTTTTGCAGGGTCATCGATTCCTCTCTCTGTTTGAGTACATCATCTTTCAAACGGTCTACGTTGGCCATGAGGAGAGTGTTGCCCTTCTTCAATGCATTTACTCTTGTCTCGTGTCTTTTCACGCGCTGCATGAGATTGTCCTTCTTCTTTGGTAATGGAGCATCCTGCAAATTATGTTGAAACATTATTAACAAGTACATTTTATAGGCAAAGATAAGACATAATTTTCGAAAATAGTGGTCCTTGTCGGATTCGACATTCACGATTCTCGCATCGATTTTTCGGAATAATCATTATCTGGCAACTGTGCAGAAAATTATAGAGCCAATAGAGACACCATTTTGTCCGTGTAAGTTACTAACAACTTCTGTGCTAATGTAATGTGTTCAGAAGACAATTCTTAGTGTGTTAGAAACGCGGAGACGTATGAAAACTAGGCTTCTTCGAAAAACCGTCAAATATTAGTTATTAAACAGATAACTTGTTTGTATAACAACTAGTACGTAGTATCACCACCAGTGGCGTAGCTATGCAAACAAGGGCCCCGTGGCAAAAAATAAATTATTTGATTTAAACTAAATAATTTAAATGTGCAAAACTACTATGTAGTATGTGTAACGCAGCGCATATTATTTAATCGTACTTCCGTATACAGCCCAAACCGCTATATGTAGAAATCTGAAAATGGGACAGTCGCTGCCTTTTATAACGTAGGCGTCCACTATGAAAGGATCATAGTGGATGCCTACTGGAAAATTCAACCTCTAAGGGGATGAAATAGAGTGATAGATAATGTTTGTATGAAACTTATCATTTTACGGGGCTATTGACTTGAAACTTACTAAAGGTAATCTCTATATTACGTGTTAGAGTCACGCTGCAGCTATATTATGATTGCAGCACGAATGGATTAGGTAGGTTCCGGAGTAGTCACGCTCAAACACAATAAAAAGTTAAAGTTACAGCCTATGTACGTCCCACTCCTGGGCACAGGCTTCAGCTCATTTCTGAGAGGGTTTTACCGCGAGGAATTGTCCGCCGAGCTGCCTAATGCGTCTTGGCAAACACCACATATCTTTGAAATATTTTTCTTACTTCTTAGACATGCAGGTTTCCTCACGATGTTTTCCTTTACTGTCGAGCACCTGGTAAATCAGCACTCAAAATTAATATATAATAATTTCATTGATGTCAGCGCGGATCCTACGTGGTTTGCTCGCGTTCTGTTTGAAATCTACAGCGAGCACTGATCATCTGAGCTACCACGGCGATCTCACAGAATAGCAGCATAAAATAGCAGCGTAATGTTGTTGTGTTTCTTATGGTGAGTGTAGAGAACCGGAGACATTATTATAAACGAGGCATTCCATCTTAGTCCTCAGGGGTGACAACGCATCTGCATTTTGATTCTTCATTGTAAAAAGACGTAGTATCACCACCAGTGGCGTAGCTATGCAAACAAGGGCCCCGTGGCAAAAAATAAATTGGGGCCCTATTTGATTTAAACTAAATAATTTAAATGTGCAAAACTACTATGTAGTATGTGTAACGCAGCGCATATTATTTAATCGTACTTCCGTATACAGCCCAAACCGCTATATGTAGAAATCTGAAAATGGGACAGTCGCTGCCTTTTATAACGTAGGCGTCCACTATGAAAGGATCATAGTGGATGCCTACTGGAAAATTCAACCTCTAAGGGGATGAAATAGAGTGATAGATAATGTTTGTATGAAACTTATCATTTTACGGGGCTATTGACTTGAAACTTACTAAAGGTAATCTCTATATTACGTGTTAGAGTCACGCTGCAGCTATATTATGATTGCAGCACGAATGGATTAGGTAGGTTCCGGGGTAGTACGCTCACACAGAATAAAAAGTTAAAGTTACAGCCTATGTACGTCCCACTCCTGGGCACAGGCTTCAGCTCATTTCTGAGAGGGTTTTACGGCGAGGAATTGTCCGCCGAGCTGCCTAATGCGTCTTGGCAAACACCACATATCTTTGAAATATTTACTTCTTACTTCTCAGACATGCAGGTTTCCTCACGATGTTTTCCTTTACTGTCGAGCACCTGGTAAATCAGCACTCAAAATTAATATATAATAATTTCATTGATGTCAGCGCGGATCCTACGTGGTTTGCTCGCGTTCTGTTTGAAATCTACAGCGAGCACTGATCATCTGAGCTACCACGGCGATCTCACAGAATAGCAGCATAAAATAGCAGCGTAATGTTGTTGTGTTTCTTATGGTGAGTGTAGAGAACCGGAGACATTATTATAAACGAGGCATTCCATCTTAATCCTCAGGGGTGACAACGCATCTGCATTTTGATTCTTCATTGAGGATAAATATGTCTATGGTGACATCCACTTACCATCAGGTGAAGTGTGTGCTCGTTTGTCACCCTTTTTCTATAAAAAGTGAAATAAATGGATACGGATATAGCGATTTTGAGAATTATCAATTAGAAAGGGACCAGAAAAAAAAATTAATTAGCGTTTTTTTTTAATACGAAAGCCACACTGGAATAAAAAATTATAAATTTCACATTTTTAGTTTGTTCAAAAAATCTTAGGGACTTAAAAAGGGGGTGCAAAGTTTGTATGAAAAATATTATATCATGATGCACATCCCAAAAAACTAGACGTAGAAATCTGACAGTTGCTGCCTTTTATGACGTAAGCATCCACTATGGTTCATAAAAGATAGCTTGATCTATGCGACAGCTGTCAGTAAAAATCACGCCTATGAAGTCCTGAATTTCTTAGTAGTACAGACAGTACCTGTCAATGTCATACTTTATGGGCATGCCGACCTAATTAGTGCATGCCCATAAATTATGACATTGACAGGTACTGTCATTACTACTAAGAAATTCAAGACTTCATAGGCGTGATTTTTAGTGACAGCTGTCGCAGAGATCAAGCTATCTTTTATGAACTATAAGAAAATTCAACCCTTAGCAAGAGAGGCGTTACCGCGTAGTGGCGGTGCAAGCATATCCACTACCTCATATCATCCCGCGGCTGTCGTAAGAGGCGAGAGTAGGCAACAAATCAGGAGATGGGCAGCCGTGTCTTCTTAATACCGACTAAAAATAAAAAAAAAACTGCGGTTGTCAACCCACTTGCCAGGCGCGGCTACTATGGCAAATGTCCACTATATGAGGCAATTATGAGGGTGGCCTACGTTCATCAGTGGACTTTAATAGGTTGTAACGGTAACGTTAAGATGGAGAAGAAGATGGTTGCAGGTGTCCCTGGGCTGCAGAAGACGCTTATCATCGGGTGGACTGTAAATTCGTTAGTCTCTTCAGTTAAAAAAAATTAGGATGGGAAAATAGCTCATTATACAAAAATCATCCTTTATTTCATATAATTGTTTATTAAATTGTTTATTAAAACTAAAAAGCATGCTCGCTTATTAATAGTTAAACATAAATCATAACGATTTCCTGACATAGAAAGAAATTTGAATATGATCTTAAAATATACCAGCATTAGGTATACTCTTGCGTTTCGTGTGGTGAACGTCGAGAATGAGATACCATTTTAGATGGTAGTAAGGTATTCCATTTTGTTTATTTGAATTCTTAATAGAGGTTTAAGGTGGTGTATAAATGTGTATATTTTGTGAAAATACACAGCTTTATATTTTAAGATTAAAAATAGAATTAAGTTTATGTTTCAGAATCAAGATTATCTATTATTATTTATTAGACTGTAATTTGAAACAGTGCCGGAAAAATATATTTAAATAAAATAATTCAGATAAGTGAAAAATAAAATATGCCTTCTCTTAGGAATGCCCTGCCGCTTAACTGAGATGAGAATTCATCAATATTTTTAATATAATAGTCTAGTATTTAATTCTACAACCCCCAGAATAAGACTTATTATTTTTATTGAAATGTATGATTGAACAAAAATTACATATTATATTATAATTATGTAGGTATACCATATATGTATTTGTTACCTCAGGTTCGCTTTCGCTTTCAGTTTCACTTTCTGTATCTTGTTCTGTCTCAGTTTCTGACTCCTCCTCTTCACTTTCACTCTTCTTTTCTTCTTCGGATTCCTCTTCCTCTTCTTCGTCATCTTCATCGTCTGAACCAACTTCTTTCATCATTGCCGCCATTTTGTCTACTTCTCGTTTCAATTCTTTGTACTTTCGTTTTTCTTCTCTGTGTGAAAGTTGTCATCAATGAAATAGAGAGTAGGTACCTACGTTTAAATTTATGACATCTCAAAATAGGTAAATTGGGGTAAAAAGGTGTAAAAATTTAATTAGGTTTAATTTAAAAATTAATTTTGATTATTCACAATATATCGCTCACATAGCAATATATTGGCACATCTACTTTTTCATATTTTACAGAAACTCGGATCAAAGATTTTACAAATGTTTGAAACGCAGTTACGACTTCATTATACGTTTTGTCACGGATTTCATGGTTTTTGATCTTAATGGATATTCAGGGGTAAAAATGTCCACTATAGATTACCAGAGTTTACATCATAAAGATCAAAGAAGAGAAAGAGTTGTCTTTGCTGTTGATGAACAGGTTTAATTTCTGACAAGAAAATGAATTAATTGAAAAAATATTATGATAGTGTAACCATAAATTGGCTCATAATCTTTTAGAAATTATCATTATCGAAACATAAATGAAATTTAAAAATAATCACTTGTTATCTTTTCTTAAAAAAGTGCATCCAAAAAGTTGGCGTCGCAGGTAGCTTTCAAATCGTAGACAGAGAAACCTATAGACTAATGATTAGCGTGGCGTCGAATGAGAAAGGACGATACCGTAGTTTTAGGTTATACAATAATCTTTATGACTTTTAATCATATTTAGATAAAATTTTTAATTGTTCTAAGAACTGAACTGAAGAAGATTCACCAATCTTAAGCTCACAAAACACTTTTTTCTCATTTAAACCAACTTGTAAACTCCTTAGATCGCTACGAACTGTTAAAGTTGTTTAGCAAAGTGTAGTTTGCTAAATAAAAAAACCGGCACGGAGAAAGGGACAAACAAACACACCGCTCTGTCTCATTTCTATGCAAGACGTATGTATAAGTCTATTTTTTCGTGTGCGAATGCGAAAGAAGGCGTCAATTTGTCTATAGGTTTCTCTGTCTACGTTTCAAATATTTCGCCGTTTCGATTAATTTGTCAATATTACTAAATGAAAATGAAATGTCGCTCTGTTAATTATAATTATCTATAGTCAGTAAGTTTAGATAACGTTATGATTTATGATACCGTGTAGTGGGGGTGTAAGAATATCCACTACCCCCATACCTATCATCCCGTGGGTATTGTAAGAGGCGACAGAGGGAAACAAAACAGGAGATGGGCAGCAGCATCTGCCTAGTGACGACTAAAAATAATAATTTGGAGCAAATGAAGTTAACCAGCTTGTCAATTCTGGAAGCTATTGCAAATATCAAAACCAAGTTGCATTAATATTTTTGCCAAAAAATTATATATTAATAAAAGAATAATTTAAAGTATATTTTATTATTTTTATAAACAATTCCATTTTTTTAGTAATTATTTATAAAAAATAGTAAAATTTTTGAATGAAAAAGAGAAAAACTTGAGTTTTATTTTGACTTCATTATATTCTCTAGTCTCTGAGCCTTAGAATAATTACATACATACGTATGCATAGAGAAAACCTACAATTCTACATAGTGTTATGTTAATATACTTGTCTCGCTTTTTCTAATTTAATTTTCAAATAAGGCAAAAATAGACATATATCTATTGAAAGATGTTACGGGTAATTCATACGAGGAAATAGAAATGTTCAGTGGTAATCATCGGTCTCTTTATACTATGCCAAATACGAGAGTATGTACACTCGTATCTTCCGTAAACAGAGAAACCTATAGACAAATTGACGCCTTCTTTCGCATTCGCACAAGAAAACGATAGATTTATGCATACGTATTGATATCAGACATACGCATAGAAATCAGACAGAGCGGTGTGATTGTTTGTCCCTTTCTCCGTGCCGGTTTTTATATTTAGCAAACTACACTTTGCTAAACAACTTTGACAGTTCGTAGCGATCTAAGGAGTTTACAAATTGGTTTAAGTGAGAAAAAAGTGTTTTGTGAGCTTAAGATTGGTGAATTTCTTGTTCAGTTCAGTTCTTAGAACAATTATTTTTTTTTATCTAAATATGTTTAAAAGTCATAAAAAAGATTATTGTATAACCTAAAACTACGTTATCGTTCTTTCTCACTCGAGGCCACGCTAATCATTAGTCTATAGGTTTCTCTGTCTACGGTATCTTCTGATTTACTAGAAAAATGAAATCGCTATTGTATTTGTAAGTAGTAGTTATATGTGACGTTACTTTCCAGGACATGACGTCTTTAATCTATAGTGAATTCGTTTGGAATGTTAGCAACAATCGATATCAATATACTCGTTTTTGTTTAGTTATATATTTTTCTTACTTTATTATATGTCTAAAATATAAAGAAAATAGAACCAGACATTATAGTTCGAACGATTAAGTAAATTGTTTTCTAAATAAAGTGATGATGACTATTATATTACATTGCAAATACTCCTTTCGCAATCGTTAAAAACTAATTATTACGGAGATATAAATACTGTTGCGCGGCTAAGTTGACATCTGGCACTGGCGCCATCTAGTGTCGGGTAATGGAGTAAGGGGAGAGCTTTCCAGAAAATGACATCACTAATCTTTCAACCGACAGCGCCATCTGTTGTCGAAACGAAGAACTAAGCTTCTGGAAAATGACTCGAACTTTCGACGCTTTGTCGATTGGTGCGCGTATTTACTTGAATGTTCTGGATGTTTCGGTACTAATGTGTATTTATAGGCGCTGTAAGGTGCGATCGGGGAAGTATTGAATTTGGCGAGACAAGCGAAGCTTCGGAGCGGAATAAAGTGAATCAGTGTGATTAATTATTAGTGTTTTAAGTTTAAATTTGTGTAAAGAAAATTAAAGTGTTAATTTAGGTAATTTTATCGGCAATTTTTATTGTCACGAACCTCAAGCTCGTAACAATACCACGTCTTGACAGACACACGGTACATAAGCCAGTTGGATTCAATTCGTAATCCCAACTCTGTATCCTGACTAAGGATCCGCCCTGGCTTCGCACGACTGTTTTCTAAATCTCGACAACAGCTCAACTTTGTTACGTTCCATGAAGCCAACCGACAGAAACCAGTGCCGATTAAACAAACACAGATACTTTTTTATTATTTGTGAAATCCATACTAAGTAGTCCAAGGATAATTTGAATTTAAGTGGATTTCATAGTAGTAAACTTTTCATGATATATTTAAAATAAAACAACGATAGTATGATAATATGAGTCCGCATTATTGGACTACATTTTTGTTGAGAGAGTCACATGAAGCTTCCATAAACTTTTATTGATATAAATAAGTGTTAAGAACTGGATTAATAAAAATCTTTAAACTTGCTATGTCATAGACTAAATGTATTTATCGACATCGTATTTGTTTCGCTTATGGCACATCAGTAGAGGTGTCTATGGAATGAAAAAACAAAGCAACAACCTTGTAAAAGAAAGAAGGTACCTAAGAATAATAGAGCTATCTTATTTTGTAACATGTTAAACATCATATGCATAAAAAGCTCCGCTCGGCTGTAAGAATTTTCATATATTTTTAGGACTCTCTATGCTAGTAATTACTCTGAGCTGTAAGACAATCGCAATCATGCTGGAAAGTTTTGGGGGGAACTTGGCCGTAGACGGATTGTCGCTCCTGTTTTGTCGCTTGAATAATGGTGTGAAGTGGATTTTGATTCGTAAAAGTGATGCGATTTTGTGAATGAAGTGTCCGGCATGTGAACTATTAGGGAAAACGACGAAACAAGTGCTTTGATGTCGATATAAACCTCAAGTTATTTTGATCACTTGGGCGCCTTATGAACTAGAGTGGCTGTCGTCATCAACTGTCCGCTAGGTTGAGCTGTCGTTAAAATCTCCCAAGGGCTTCTCAATGTGACGCATCAGCACATTGTGAAGAAAAAGAATATAAAATGAAGATTTCGAAAGAAATGATAGGCTCAGAAGGGCTAGAACCCAGAGCCATAAGGCCAGTTAATAAAAAAAAGCAATCACGCTATACTTTTGTATTTTCACGACGACACTGAAACATGATTGTTTTATTATTTAACCATGCGGTGGCATTACTAAATCTGTATAATAACGTCACTGGCATTTGGATTTAAATTTTATAAAATCCATTTTTGATTGTTAAATTACATGAAAAATCAGTCGTTAATTTTTTAAATATTTCTTAATAATTTTTGGTAAACTTTAAAAAAAAAGTAAAACATGGAAATTAATGATATCTTAAATTTACGCGAACACTTCAGATTGAATAAAACTACTTATGCAGATTTTATCACGTTTAATTAATTTAGTTTCAGATACTTTTAAGGATCTAAAAATAAATTAATTTGAACTTGTTCAAGATCGTCCCCACCATTACATCAGATTTGATAAACCAAAAATGTTCGCAAAAGACATTGCTATTGAAATTAAAAAACATCCTAATTTCAATAAAGATGGAAGGGTGCTGCTATCTGCTTGGGATACAATAATTAACAAAGTTAAATAAATACCCAAGCATACCACTGCAAGAATACTTATACTTACTACAAGATACTTTAAGCTCATTCTGCGTAGATCAATCCAAAATTAATATTCAAGAACTGAAGGTAGCCTAACTATGACATTGCGACGTCAAACATCTCAGTCCCCCCCCCGTGACCATGGGTGCTGTAAAGTACCCGAAACGTCGGGAATTTAAAATAAGTTAATTCATCATCATCATCATCATCATCATCATTACAGCCCTTCACAAGTCCACTGCTGAACATAGGCCTCCCCTAAGTAACGCCACAAAGCACAGTCTTGAGCCACCTGCATCCATCGACTTCCTGCATGTCTTACCAGCGTCGTCACTCCGTCTAGTGGGGGGTCGCCCTACACTACGCCTACCGGTACGAGGCTGCCACTCGAGAACCTTTCTTCCCCATCGGTTATCGGTTCTTCGAGCTATATGGCCGGCCCATTGCCACTTCAGCTTACTAATCCGCTGGGCTATGTCGGTCACTCTGGTTTTACTGCGGATATCCTCATTTCTGAGTCTATCACGCAGAGAAACTCCGAGCATAGCCCTCTCCATAGCTATGTCGCTGAGCGACCTTGAGCGTCCTCATACGGCCAGCAGTGAAAGACCACGTCTCAGATCCGTAAGTCATCACTGGCAACACGCACTGGTTATACACTTTAGTTTTCAGAGATTGAGGTATACCTGACGAGAAGATGTGTCGTAATTTCCCGAACGCTGCCCAGCCGAGTTGAATCCGTCGATTGACATCTCGGTCGAAGTCTAGTCGAAGTCTATCAACTTACCTAGTCGGACTATTTGTCCCAGGTAAACTTACTCGTCAACAACTTCGAGCATAGCGCTCCCAACAACTAGCGGCATAGGTGTGACATGGACATTAAACATGATCTTTGTTTTGTCCATGTTCATCTTAAGACCTATCCGTTGGGAGACACCATTGAGGTCATTGAGCATAGTGCTAAGGTCCTCCAGCAATTCTGCCATAAGGACTATATCGTCGGCAAATGGAAGGTGAGTGATGTACTCGCCATTGATGTTAATACCGTATCCTTTCCAGTTCAGTAGCTTGAAAACGTCTTCCGACGCAGCCGTGAAGAGTTTCGGGGATATAACATCACCCTGTCTTACACATCTCTGCAGTTGGATAGGTTTCGAACTCTGGTTCTGTACTCGTATAGCCATCGTAGCCCTACTGTACAAACACTTCAGCACTGCGATATACCGACAGTCAACTTGGCACCACTGAAGGGACTGTAGCACCGTCCGAATTTCCACGGAATCGAAGGCTTTCTCATAGTCCACATATGCCAGGCAAAGTGGCAGATTGTACTCTTCGGTCTTCTGTACAATCTGCCGCATGGTATGTATGAGGTCTATGGTACTGAAGCCTTTTCGGAAACCGGCTTGTTCGGGAGGCTGGAAGTCGTCGAGTCTGCGTGCGAGACGATTCGTAATGAATCTCTAAAATAGCACGTAGACGCGGCTCAGAAGAGAAATCGGTGTGTAGTTCTTCAAGAGAGCGTTATCGCCCTTTCTTAAAGAACAAGACCACCGCACTTCTGCTCCATGCCTCCGGAGTAGTGCCACCATGGAGGACGGAATTGAAGAGCTTCTGAAGGACTTCAAGTACCGGTGTTCCACCCGCTTTCAGAAGCTCCGCTGTAATTACATCCTCGCCCGGCGCCTTGCTGTTTTTAAGGTGGTGGAGAGCTATTCTAATCTCGCTCAGACTGACGTCCGATATCATCGAGTTAACTTGCTCTTGGATCGTTACTCACACTTGCGTGTGGCTCCAACGATGATGTGTACAGCTGCCCATAGAAAATCTCAATCTCACTCAGAATCTCAGGTATCCCGGAAACAATGTTGCCACATTCAGTCTTCAGCTTTGAGAATTGGCTCTTATCTGGCAGACAGATCTCTGGCAAAGACTTTAGAGCCCTGGTTCCGCTCGATCGCTTCTTTAATACGAGCAGTATTAAAGTTGCGTAAGTCTCGCCGCATGCATTTGGAGATCTGTCTGTTCAGTTGCCTGTATGCTGTCAAATCTGTTGACGATTGCAGCCTCATCTCCCGTCTAACAGCCATAAGATTAAGAGTGTGATCAGAGAGTTTTTGTGTTCTTCTGCGGCGGGTCTTGCAGAACTTAGCTCCGACCGCATGGACAGTTTCCACGAGCTTGTCATTCATATCGTCCACTGCTTTGCAATCTTCTAGGCACTGACAGCGGTTACGTAACTCGAGCTGAAAGGTTTCAGGATTCTGGATTAGAGCACGAGGGGGACGGAGCGTTGACTTCATTAGACGAGACCTCTCCAACTTAACGTTAAGGTTCAGTGTGCCTCTAACCATTCGGTAATCGCTGCCAGTTTTCACCCCTGCGATCACTGAGACATCACTGAACAGTTGGCGTCTGGTCGTCATAATGAAGTCAATCTCATTTTTTGTCGAACCGTCGGGGCTCGACCAGGTCCACTTCCTGTGGGGCCCCTTCTGGAAGAAAGGAGTTCATCATAAAGAGTCCATCTTTCTCCATAAAGTCGGCCAGCTGCTGGCCCCTTCGGTTCCGTTGCCCTACTCCAAATTTCCCTACCTTCAGCTCACCGCTTTCTCTTGTGCCTAGTTTTGCGTTGAAGTCTCCCATCAACACCGTGTAGTGGGTTTTGGAGGAATGCATGGCTCTGGAAATATCCTCATACATTTCCTCCACCTCCTCATCGGAATGTGCAGAGGTTGGTGTGTAAACCTGTATGACCTTCAGCGAATACCGTTTGGTGATTCTGAGTATCAGGTACGCGACCCTCGTCGACACACTCCCAATATTTACAACGATCTCTCGTCAACAACGTTGTAAAATAAGTTAATTAAACGCGATAAATTCCGTGTTAATAGTGTTATTTAACATGAAAATTCTCAATTGTAAGAAATTTTTTTTAATCACATATATTCAGTTTTGAATTATATGCTGCTTTTAAAGTAATTATAATAGGTGATAAAACCCTAGATGGTAAATTGCACTGACAAAAGCCCATTCACTCTTGCCTCGAGATGCCAAAAGATGAAGCAAACCGTTTGGTTCTAATGTGTAGAATATTGACAACAAAGGGATAAAGACCCGCTGACCATCTGGTTGTCTAATTAATTAGTACTAAGCGAAAGGTGATGAAATAATATTATAGAAAATTACATTAGGTTGAGATAATAGTTAAATATAATAAAAATGTGACAGTTGATGTTCAACTTGCTCTCTTGCTTACGCAGTTAATCATTATCAATAATAAAATAGGGTAAAGCATTACATATTCAGTAGAGCAATTACAGTTCAACCATACCGTAATATGTCCCCGTCACAATTACACACTGGTGTAACGTAAAGGACATAATTACATGATAACCCCAAAGTATGCAAACCAACAGCAACATTACACATTACAGTGTAACACAGAGCAGCCTTTCAGCAACACCATTTTCCTTGCCTACACCAGAAGAATTATTAAAACGTACTGAACTATGACACTATCTCAGCACTCCTAGAACGACTTCAATCGTAGAACGACTTCAGCGGAAGCTCTCGTGCACGGCGCCTTACAAACTACAGTAAACAAAAGAAAGTTATCGATAGTTGCCGGACGCGGCAATATTGTGCTCACGTTACAACATTTATTTATTTTATTTGAAAAATGCTGATTGCAAAAAATACGAGATACGCAATTTATAAACACACAAGTTTAGTATTTAATACTCACTTAAGAGCCGCTTGCTGATTCTTTAAAGCCATCTTAAAGCCCATACGTTCTTTTTTCATATTGTCTTGCTTTTGTTTCAGATGTTGGATTTTGTTCCTCATGTTACGTATTTCTTTCTCCATTCTTTTTTGTTTCTTTTCTTCGCTTTCTTCCTATAAATTTAATATTCATGAATTGGAAGGTATAAATAATTTTAGTAATAGTCATAATAAAATGAAATACAACGTTATTAAAATAATCATAATAATCTAAATACCTACATTACTTTATACTACAAATCATAATACACGCTTAGAAAAGTAACAAGCATAATACATATTCTTGCCCTAATGCCATTAATTTTTATATTTTCCTAATAAGTTTACGAGATTCTGGCAGCCGAAAATGCTAAAACATTTCAAATGCGGAACCTAAATCCCATAAACTGGTTATGGGGAGCAGCAATTGCTATTGCAAGATTCTCGGCTTTGCACTCATCGCTATACAATAATATATAGCTAGACTTTTAGATACTTTTTAACCCGTAGTTGGATACAGGCCTTTTTGAGAAACACCTCCAAGTGCACAGGGAATTATATTTGTATATATTATGCTTATCTTACCTCTTCTTCTTCCGTTTCATCTTCTTCTTCAAAACTGTCATCCTTTGTTACAGAAAGTTGCTTCATAGCGTGGCTGGCCCGTCTTGAGCTAGTGTTTGTTGGCATAATACCCTGAAAATTTGTTATTTTTTAATTTATTGTTTCTTACTACAACTTTTTCATATAACCATTAACTAATACAACGATATCAATTCAATTTGAATATCTGTAAGTGTTTTTTAGTACAATACCATGGCATTCTATATTAAAATGAGAAAAACCACTACAAAAGCATGTGATATTTTGAGCGACTTTCGGTCTGTTGATAATAACGTTATTTTCGGAAAATAATGTTACATAAAAGTGTAGAAACCAAATTATTTTGAAAAGTATAATTTTCTTAAAAACACCTCTAAAAATAGACAAGGGTGAAGGTGAGATCAGGAAGGAATATTGTTAAAACGGTTATAGGATTAACAGCCATTACCTCAGAATCTGCGTTAGAATTAGTAGAAGCATTAGCAAGGTTATTGTTAGTGAAAGCTTTCTTCTTTAGCTCCTCTGCTTCTTTGGAATCAATATCAATATTTAATAACCTACACTGTTTAATAAAATCAAGTTGGTTCTTTTGATAGAAAGATAAAGGTTCTTCAGACGCTGATAAATCTTCGAACTTATCCTGTAAATTGTTAAAAAGCTGTAAAATTGTTAATTGCGAAAAATACAAAAAAAAATCTAAAAAATAAGTACAAAAATACATTAAGAAAAATTTACTACAGATTGCATAAATACCGATAGCGCCAGTTCCAATTTCTTTTCAAGTTCAGCATTTTTTCTCTTTATTTCTTCCAATTCTGTTATAGCTGTATCTCTTTCTTCCGCTGCTTGTAAATATTGTTTTTCCAAGTTATCTGCTGTTTCTTTTGCTTTTTCAACTTCAATTTTTAAGTTATTAACAAGTCTCTCGTCATAAGCATCAGTAACTGATATGACAGTCTTGTGTTGCTCCTGTTTAATTATAGCTCGTTCTCTCGCTAATTCTGCTTCTAAGTTCTGTATTCTTGTTAAAAGTCGCTTGTTTTCTCTTTCTTGAGCTTCCTTGTTTCTGTAATAATGTAAGTTAGTTTATTACATGTTCTAAAATAACGATCTGTCCTTGAAACTGAAAAGAAACAGAAAGAAACATAGCAGAAGCACAACCCTAGTGTTGAATAATGTATTTAGTATTCCATCATAGCGAAATTCGACTTCGTGCAATGGTAATAACTAAAATACCCGGATGACCCGGTTTTTTTTTTAAATTAAATTTAGATACAAATTACATACCGATGAATTATATTTTTTGATCTTATTGACATAATAGAAAAAACTGAACTGGTTATTTGAATAAAAAATCATGAGTGCAATTAGTTATATTAAAATTTTCGTATTTTTAAAAAATACTAAAAAAAGGGCTTGAAATAATAGATTTTCTCACAAAAGAAGGGAACTTGAAAAAAAAGGAAAAAAGCCGGGCCAGAGACAGGACGCGAACCAAGGAACTCCGATATCACGCCCGACCGACATCCCACTGAGCTATTACGATCATTAGTGATTTGTTAAAATTTACCTTCTTATATTGTAGCAGTTCTTTTATTGCTTGAAAACACGGACAAAAGGACATTTTCTAGAAATAAATCCTAGCTAGATCGATTTATTCCCCCCGAAACTCCCTAGCCACAAAATTTTATGAAAATCGTTGGAGCCGTTTCCGAGATTCCGATTATATAATATATATATATATATATATATATATATATACAAGAATTGCTCGTTTAAAGGTATAGGATATAACATTGACGAGACTTCTACTACAAAACTTACTTAAGTATTTGTTTTTTGTTACTTTAGGTATATGAGTGCCCCACTAAATCTTTGTCAGGAGCAATTCCAATAGAAAAGTATATCTACAACTTTTGCTATACGGTCATCAAACCTTAGTATAATATTTAGTTTTTATATGTTTTATCGCAGTTTAAAAGCAAACTGTTGATGTTAAAATATTATTCAGTATAGCATCATACACCTTATTATATTTTAGCAATAGCTATTTAAGACAGAAAATTAATAATCTATCACTATCATCATGGTTGTCTTCAACTAATGTGTTAAGTTATGGAAACACGAAACAGGAAAAATAGGAACAAGTTCTAAATCATAATACATAATTTACAATATTGTACACTTAAATGTTCTAAACTATAATTTAACAAAAGTGGTTAGTATCATTACTTTATTAATTATATATTGTAAAAACTAACCTTAGTTCTATTGCAAGAAGCTGTTTTGTTGATTGAAGATCATCTCTGACCTTATCAATATCATCCATCTCATCGATATCATCTTCCTCTGCCGCAGGTATCTGTAAAGTTATAATTATTTATGTAATACAATTTCACGTGCAATATTTTTATTCGATTCAAATGTATTCGAAATTTAAAAATGTCCGCGGAAAAATAGTTGCTTCGTCTTAATCAAGTGAACTTGATTTAGTAGCTAAACTTTTGGCTTCGATACGGCTGAGCTGTAATTTAGAATCCTGTACAGAACAAGTGTTTATATTGTTTGGTCTGTAAATTATGTTAGTTCTGGGCCTGAATGTTTATGCATGTGCTATTTATATAAAATGCATCTATGATACAGGATAAAAGCTATAAGGGCCTACGTTTTAAAAAGTGAAAGGAATAAATTAAGAAAGCATGACCACAGAAAATAAATTTGAGAACAAAATGAGCAATACCGAGAAAATCTTGTGGATTCGCTCAAAAAGTCGAATTGATGCTAATTGTTTATTTTTACTTTCTTACTCGTAAATTGTAAACTCGTAAACTCGTACGTTGTGAAAAAACAGACTGCATCTGGTCGTATTTAAACGTTTGCTTATGAAAATCTATCAAAAACGACTGTGATTTATGTATGTTATTACTCTAATAGTACAACAGTCTGTCTCTCTGTAGTTCCAGAAAAGTACAACTTCGTGTTTTTAGTCCATTGAGACCTTAAAACAAAATTTTTTAAAAAAGAGGAGGTTTTTTACATCAGGAAACATATACAATCAGTGTTGCATCAAATACAATACGTGGTAGAGCCATGCTGTACTTATATTGTGGTTGCAGCGCGAATGGGTCGGCCCGACCGCGGAAGGACCACGCTCTTACAGAATATCAGCGTGAAATAGCAGCTTAATATTGCTGTGTTCCGTATGGTGAGTGTAGAGAACTTGAGACCCTTTTTTACTGGAAACGAGGCATTCCATCTCAGCTCTCAGGGGTGACAACGCATCTTCATTTTGATTCTTAATTGAAGATAAATGAAGATGTCTATTATGGGCCACAGCATCTTTACTATCAGGGGGACTGTGTGCTGGTTTGTCACCGTTATTCTATAAAAAATATAATACTTTACGACAAAATATATCGATAAAAGAAAATTTGGTGTTTTATTTCATTATTTACGGTACTTTTTTCCATTTGTCTTCAATAGAATCAAGCGTAGCTTTTAGTAAATCCACCTTATTATACATACTAATATTAAATATATAAGATTTGAAAAATAAAATGGTATGTTTAATCAAGTATGAAGAGCACCAATTATGTACATTCAATTAAGTACCTCTGCAACTCCGGGCACTAAAACTCCAGACGGAGAATTTGCTAGATTGGCCTGTGACATTGACTTCTGCACTTGTTCTTCTATAGTCATTTGTCGTCTGAATTTCCTCAAACCTTCCAAATTTGGTTTACTTCTATCATTAGTCTTCACCTTCTTTAGTTTTACACCTTTGTTGATTTCTTTCAATAGCTCATTGTGAGAATTGGGTTTTTCGGATTCAAAAATGAATTGACCCTTATTTTTAACAACTGTCGATGGTGTGATAATCGGGCTCGACCTGAGAAAAGTATTTTAGAGAGCTTAACTATTTAAATGCTTTTTAACCCTTTTCCTACCTCGTGAATCATATACAAACATTTCAATTGTTTAACTATTGTATCTGTTTGCGGACAGTCCAACTGTTAACTTTGTTAGCTTACTTTCATTTTGAAACTTTTGATGGCTTCAATTATTATCAAAGGCTAAAAATTACGTAAGATATGTTAGAGTACTACAATTATAAAGGCACACAAGAGCACTCACTTGCCTTAGCCTATTCATATTCGCCGTTAATCTAGATGAAGTAAGATCGAACGATAAGCAGCAAGATCGTTAGACTCGGGTGCAATACAATACAACTAAACCTGAAAACCAGCAACTTATGTTTTTGCATTTGTGATTGCAAAACGATGGTTCCAGCTGGAATTCGAATCTAGTACTTATGACTCGATATTGGGATTGTGTGACTACGTGACCGTCAAAGCAATTAAGCGAAATTATTGAATTTTCCATTCATTAGTAATAATATTTTAGTAAAAGAAAGTTGGTAAAATAAAATAATAAGCTTTATGTAAAGCCACGTCGCCTTGTATAAGAAAGTCCAATACACCATATCATTCCGTGAGGGTCCTGAGAAACGACAAAGAGAAATGGAACAGGAGATGTGCAGCAGCATTTGACAATTAAATCTAACACGTAGTAGTGGCGGTGTAAGAGTATCTACAACTCTAATTCGTCCCATGGATGTTGTAGGAGACTACAGAGGAAGAAACTGGAACTGGAGATGGGCAGCATCTTCCTCATAACAGCATTGCAACGCCTTAAATATGAAAAACTGCCAACCCGCTTGTCGAGTGTGGCAACTATACCCACACTCGACAAGCGGGCCCTATGAGGCAATTTATGGAGGAAGTCTAAGTCAATAGTAGATCTTTGACAAACTGCAATAAGTGAATGAATTAATGAAAACCTAAAACACTCGATAAGAGGTCTATCTTTGTTTTACTGACCTGTCATTACAAACGACATGCTTGAGTTTTCTCCCCTGTTCAACTTCCTTCATCATGTCGCTCCAATCAGGCCGCCTTCTTGGCCTGCTACGGAGCGACTCCAATTTCTTCAGCTTTTCAGGATCAATTGGAGCCTTCTTGAACTCCGGCGGTGGAGGCATTTTCGGTGGCAACGGTGGAGGCATGGGTGGAGGAGTTGGCTTTAGCAAACCTGCGGGCATTGAATGTAGACTTAAATTTTTCGATTTGCAGTGGCTATATACGAGTAAATAATCGTAACGTTTAAATCGTAAAACGTCAGCAACATAACGTTTAAAAGATAACCACTTCTTACCTATTCCTACCGTCAAATAGCAGTACGTACGAGTGGGAGTGTAATTACACAGGCTGTGAGGCATTCTACCTTAGCCCTCGGAGGTGATAACGCATAGTTGTGTAACACGTGTTAAGGGCTTTAGTAGTAATTTACCATCAGATGGACCATAAGTTTGTTTATCACTTTTAATTTATAAAAAACGATAAGGGAATCAAAATCGCTACACATTTTATAGAGTATGAGTGAAAATGAGCATACAGTCCACAGTGATAGTACTCGTAGTCTAAGTTAACGTTTTAGATGGATATTCTTCTGATTATATTAATGTTAATGCTGAGACAAAGGCGTTGATTGGAGTTGCATTAAATATTATAAGTTCTTTTACCTGTTAAATTGCCGTTTGACAGTGTCTGGCCATTACAAATTAAAAATATATTTTGATTGCCTTAGATTTCTAACTTCAAATATTATTTTAAAAACATGGAATTCTTTTTTCAAAAATTAGTAATTTCTTCATTATTTTAGCGTTATGTTTTCATCGCATAAGATATTTAATTTTGGATGCCAAACTAGTCCAAGTGGACCCCGTTGATCCCGACACAAGCACAAGAATCCTTATAAAGAGACATTAATGCCTGTATCAAACTAGCCCTCAACCCAATGAGTCCAGTGTTTGCCATAACACATTCCTTTCCGTCTGTCATTAGCCTTTTTCAAATCAAAGAACCCACAAAAAACTTTCTGGTTTTTGAGCAAAAACTTCTCCACGATTATGCACACGGAAAAGGCTTGATCTGTACTCCCTTACTCCTCTGTATTCCCTTTCTAAATCCAGCTTACACATCCCAAATTTTTCCATCAGTTTCTTTCATAATACTTACACGTTAGCTTACAATTTACCAAGCTAAGTACACAGTACACAGTACACGATAGTTTTTACAGTCCTGCTGTGACCCTTTTCCCTTATATATTGGGACTATAACTGCTTTTATTCCAGTACCCGCTTCAGTTCCCAATATAAATTAAACAAAGCTAACAGCAGGCCTGCTACAACTCCCTCTAAAGCCCTTAGCATTTCGAGTGATAATATCATATCATATCCAGCTGCCTTACCTGCTTTTATTTGCTTTCATTGTTTCATCTCCTTTTAGTTGCCTACCCGTTTTCAATTCATTTAAAAATTTTAGTCCATTAAAATTTTTGTCCGGGGGGGGGGGGGGGGGGGGGGCACGTTTTTTTTTTTTTTTTTTTTTTTTTTTCCGCGGGGTTTGTTCCCCCCAAAAAAACACAAAAACCCTCAATTAAGGGGGAACAGGACACGAAATAAATCACCAAGCTTGAGACTTCACTAGTTCATTCTGCGTAGATCGGACCAAAGACATTAATTAAAAAAGCTGAAGGTACTCCGTGTTAACTTTGACATCGGGACGTCAGTCACCTCAGTCCCCCGTGACCATGGGTGCTGGAAAGCACCCGAAACGTCGGGTATTAAAAATAAAATAAATAAAACGAGATAAAATCCGTAAAAGTAGTTTTAATCAATGTGTAGTGTTCGCGTAAATATAAGAAATCATTACATAAACAAGCTTTCAAAGTATTCTTTCCATCTCCTTAACTTGAAACTTCGTCACTCAGAATACATCGGTTCTCGTCTCGTATAGCATTAATTTTAGGCTGTTTAGACTAACCGTCTCGGGAACGGAATTAGCACTACTGCAGATGTGTACTGAGAAGAATTGAATACAGTGATGGAAAAGCTCGCACCACTTCAACCAGCTTTCATTAACCGCACGTCCTCCACAACAGACGGTCTCCAAGTTACAAGAGCTGGGGTTGGAAGCTCTCCGTTACCCGCCGTACTCACCAGACCTTGCACTTTTTTGGATAACTTTTTGGCGGGAAAAAATTTAATGCCCGAGAGGCAATACAAAATGCCTTTGAAGAATTTTTTGCCCCCGTCCAGCTGATTTCTTCAAGAAGGGCCATGCAATCAATGCATATTTGCCAAATCAATAAACTGCCACTACGTTGGCAAATATCCATAGGTTCAATGGGTGATTAAGTTGATTAATAGAAAAAAAAAATTATAAATTATTTCATAAAAAACGGCAATTTCGTAGGTAATTTTTGATTGCGATATTGGTGGAGCTAGAGGTATTAAATTGCTCCACAATTTGATGGACCCGAGTGAATGAAGAAAATAAAATAATCAATCAATTTTTTGATAATAGGGGGTGAAAAGTAATACGCGATAAAATGTAGTGCGATGATCGCAAAGAAGAAGATACGGGATAGCAATACACGAAGTTGCTTTCTGAGCAAGTGTTGTGAAATTCAATACTTAAATCGGAATAATTTCTATAGAAGCTAGAAGCAACATGCTAGAAGTTAGTTTAATCCTTTGCAATTGTTTTATATTTGTTTGCCCAAAAATGTTCTAAAATATTCTTACGCTGTTAGAAATTAAAAGATTGGACATAATTGATACTTATACCTCTAAAATGAATATCCGTATTGAAATCAGGCATTATACGGCACAACTCCACTCTTTAAATAAGTCGATAAAACTTCAAACAAAAATAAAAATAGTATACATGCCACAGTATTTAATTGATTCGAAACCACACTATCTTTAAATTATTTGCAAAAATATAAAATTTCAAACTAAATAGAAACGACGTGTAAGAGGCAATTTCGCATACAAACTGAAGTATGCCGCAGTTGCACCTGATTGAGAAAGCTGCGCATGCGATGCATGCGGAACTGTCGAAGACTATTTTGAACCAGATTTAGACCACAAACGTTGTCTAGCACCCAGGAGATCAAAAGGTGAAGGATTGAAATAGCGAGATGACTCGGCTAATGAGACAGGGAACGGAAAATATGACAGGAATAAGAGGCTTAGCCGTCGCAAATTTAATGTTCTCTGGTTCGCTATAAATGTTACTTTATAAATTTTTATAGAGTCATATATTCAGATATTATTGTAAAGTTTTACTGATCTTTAATGATATTAAATTAATTGAAAGATTTATGGTAAAATTATCGTGCCTTAAAATGAAAATCTATGATCACCTAGGATCTCAAAAGTATTACAACATACACTTATTGAACTTTGCGAATTTATGTAACACTCCTAAGGCATGATAATGATTTTAGATTTATTTATTTATTTAGTAAAAAGTGTTGGTGATCCAAAGTTGTGACTGAATTTATATTTTTTATTACTCTTTAGCTCCATGCCATACCATGCTCCGATAAACTTCCGAATAAATTTGATAAAGTCAACATTGCAATTATAAAAACTCAGTGACTTATGGTAAAATAAGAGCTAGAACGTTGTATTAAAATAGAATATGACACTGAACTATAGAGCAAAACGAATGGCTACCTAAATATGAAAACTTAAATGTGGCAATGTTAGCTGCAATCAAAATCAATATTCAATGCTGATATCATTGAATATTGATTTTGATTCAAAATAATATCAATCAAAATAAATCACATTGCTTTTCAAATCTATAAATAGGATGACTAAATTGGGTTGTGTGTAAAACTGATGTTATAAATAAATTGTCACTTCTATGTTGCAAAGTAAACACAAATCTTTTTACAAGTAGAAAAAAGAAATATCAGTACCTATCTTCCATTTTTCTATACTCAAAACTTAATTTGGTGGACGAAGAGACATTTGCAATAAGTTCCGGTCCTTTTAAATTGTGAATAGTTACGAAATACATTTTAGAGTTAATTAAAAATACAAAAAAAAAACCCAAGAAATTACCAAAATCGAGTGTTAGTCTTTGAGATTTATGTAACCGTATTGTTTTGGGACTTACTTCTTAAGCTCTCATTTTTCATTAATGTGTGTCCTTTTGGGATTTCATTCGCCAAAGTCTTGTCAATATTTTCTTTTACTCTTTCATGTAACGGGTCTCTCCACTTCTTCAAGCTGACCTCATCTTTCGATGGTGCCTTTTGCAGAGATGCCTTCCTTGGTGCAGGAGGAAGCTGAAATTAATATTTTAGGATATTTTCAATAAATAAATACCTACATTATTTGAAAATTTTAGGAATGTACTTAATTTACTTAAAAATAATAATTTAAGTGTAAAAGAGAATCATGTTATGTAAAATAAAAAGAGAGTTATCCTTAGGTATTACATTCATATAATTAATTAGCAGTCCTTTGTGTTTTTTAAGTTATTTATCTAGTTTATTTATTAAGTTTTTTATCTGTTAGTAATAACGATTGTATCCGATCTGAAACATAATTCTGTAAACATGTTTGAATACATAGCTGTAAATAAAATTAAATATTTGTTTTTATTGCACTTAAATAAGACTTTTTAATCATAATTTAATTTAAATAGTTAGAAAAACTATTAAACGCAAATAAAATCGTCAATTGAAAACATAGTCCTAGATTTTACTCGAGTTTAATGAGAGTAATTCTGCCGGTTAAATTTATTAAATATAAAAATTATTAATCAAATATTTTCGTTTTACTTGTTCCGAATAGTATGTAAATGTCAAATGTATGGTTTCCTACTAAATTTTGTCCAAGCTATGTCACTTTTAGAAAAAAATGTTTTCATTTATAATTTTGTCATTTTTTAAAGTGTACCGTGTGCAAGTAAGGTTAAAATTTGGATGAAAATGCATAAATTTAGCTACCTATTTTATTTAAGCTTATTGTAAAATTAAATATTGTACCGGAGAAAATCAAAAAATGATTTGGAACAAAGTATTTTCAGACCATTGATTAGGGTGCACTGTAATGTCTTTCTTGTCCAGCACCATCTTCCTAATAACAACTAAAAAAAAAACTGCGGTTGTCTAACCGCCTGCCAAGCGTGACAACTATGGTAGCTTGAGCTGTGGACTTTGATAGGCTGCAACGATAACGGTAATGCTTCTTAAGTAAATTTGAAGTGGCTTAGCATTGAGTTACGGCGCCGAGACCCTAATATTTGTATGGTCTACAAGTAACTGTTCCGGGTCTGGGATGCTTGTCCTTGTGCAATTTTTGTAAACTGCCTCCACTATATCGTTAAGAAAAAAAATGATCTCAAAGCTTATTGTAATAAACATACCTTAGAAGATTTTTCTAGTGGTGGCTTAGTAGACATTTTTGATTTTTCTTCTAAATTTTCTTCAGATTTTATTTTTTCTTTGATGACTGACTGACTGACTTTAGAGGTTTCGTCTACTTTAGTTTTATCAACAGTTTTTTGCTTTTCCTCTACTTTTACCTTATCGCTTAGTTTACCCTTATCTCCGGTATTAAATTTCTCAGTGCATTTCCCCTTGTCCTCTGCCTTAGAATTATCTCGAGGATTGATCTTTTCTTCTGATTTAAATTTTAGTTTTTCTTCTGTTTTTGTCTTATCTATGGATTTTTCAATTTGTTTATTATCTTTATTTGATGAATTTGTTGTAACTTTACCATTTGCAGACTTATCATTTATCGTGTTAGTTGGCTTTACAATTTCATTCTTACCCGCTTGTTTTTGATCTACAATTGTAACGGTTTTATCTTTGGCTTTGTCATCAATAGTTTTTACGCTTTTTAATATCGGTCTTTCCGGTATTTTATCGTTTTTATCTTCTGGTTTTATTGTTTTAACTGTTTTAAGTATTTTGGATAATCTTGGTTTTTCATCAGTTGACCTGTTTGCTTTATCTGCTTCTTTTGCCGCAGAAGGTTTTATAAGTTTCTCCTCTGTTTGTTCTGATATTCCGTTTTCTGCTTTTTCTTTTACTGTTGTCTGTTTTCTTAGAACCGCTGCAAAATAAAAATATTAATAAATTAGTGATAGAAATTTAGTTAAATATACCTATTGATACGATTTCCTTAGAAAGTAGAATACAAATTTAAAAGTATGATGAGGAATCACAGCCTGCTAGTTTTTGTAAAAATGACATCATTTATTATTACATTAATCAATAATGTTACGTAACTATAAATAAAGCCTAACAAAAACGTGTGCCACATCAAAGGAAGAGCTATTCTATATTTTAATTATATATGTAACAATTTCTGCGAATATTATTTTAAAATGTTAAGAAAGACAATTATTTTAGTTAGAAAGCTATTGCCTAGAACACTAGAATAAGCGGTGAAATAGTAGATACGACTCCTAGAGCTCTGCTTTCATAAGATTATGGTACTGTTGGTGGTTTTTTTAATGATTATCTTGAACATTAACCAAAAGTCGAAAATGTGTAGTTATTTAGTCTGTCAACACAGTGAATCGGGTTTGGCGACACCAAGTCTCGTACAAAATAAAGTTGACAGCCATTCTATTGTGTATTATAGTATTCTATGGGCAAAACTGTTCGAAGTTGCGTGTTATGGCGTCAAATAATTCATCATCTTTCAAATTTTGCATTCTGGGGATATTTGTGCACGAACCATTTTGTGACAGGCGTTCGTGGTTAAATCATTATTAGTTTTCGGAAAGTAAAACCTTTATTTTTTCTTACACATGCGTAAAATTTGATTGGGAAAGCAAATTTACTGTCAAATACTGTATGAATATAGGCGAAAATTTTCACGGACTCTCAAAATGTGTCCGTTTACTTGAAATAAAAGAATAAAATATACGACATGTAACTTGACAATAAGCTGTTTACTTATAAATAAATAGGGTATTATTTTCAAATTCAGTTGCTATTTTCATTGACTTTTATGTATATATATATATGTGCACACACACAGGTTCGAATCTGAAAAATAGCGGAGACCAATGTCCACCGCATTAATCACAATTAAATGCTATTGGCTGTATACGAACCTACTTTGAAGTGAAACCGAACTAGGTACTTTGAATCGAAAATTCATCGCCTTTTATTTAAACGCAAGCTGAGTCGCAGGTAAAAACTAGTCTTAATATAAACTGGTTTATAAATCTAAATATAATATTGTCAATTTAATTTTTCAACAAATATTTCACTTAATAGTGCCATGTAGTGACGGCGTAAGAATATCCACAATCCCGTACCGTCCCGTGGGTGATAGAGGGTAATTCAATCAGGTGATGCGCATGGTCTTTCTGATAGCAACTAAAAATAGTAACAACTGCTGTTGACAACCCGCTCGCCAAGCGAGTCCAATATGGCAAAATCCCCCCTATGAGGCAATCTATGAAAGAGGCCTACGTTCAACAGCAGATTTTATAGGCGTAATAGATGGATGGATGAAAACATTAAAATATTGATATTTATTGATAGTTCATACTGACATTCAGATTTAAAAACTGAACTAGAGAAACATTCGCTAATACTGAGCTTTAGTCTGCCTTTCGGGTAAACAGTTATTATTCGTTAATTTACTGGATAAATGAAAGGTACAAATATTTAAGTAATACTTTGTTTTATTACGTAACATATAAACCACTTTTTTTAAATTGCAGATTTAATCAATATTGATTGAACTTAAGTTTCATTGAACTGCCAGGTAGGGCATTATAATAAATCAGTCATTTAATACTAAAGTTTAATAATTAATAAAAATAAATTTAATAAGTTTATTTGTTGGAGTGGCCTTCCATGGTACACCGAAGTTAAAATAACAAAATAAGGTGTTATTTTAACTTCGTCGATTCCCAAAATTAATTAAGCGAGGGACCGTACTGCCAAAATAGCAGCGCGAGCGATTCGCCGTCGCGTCTGTGATTTTCAGTTCGATGGGTGTTTGTGTAAGTAGAAGGAATTTGTCATCACATGGCAATAACTACGACTTTTTAATAATTCGCCTTCAAAGGAGCATGTACTTCCATGGTCCACTCACCTTACATTAATTATGTTGATGTCATCTAGATTGTATTTCGGTCACGGTGAACAGTGTTAACAGAGCATCCACGTAAGATTACAAAGCATGAGTGTGTGCGCAAAAAAAGGTGCACTCTCTATTCTCTCTCTGTCATATTTCGATAGGAAGGTATTTCGACACAACCGAAAAGAGATTAGGCGCAAGACCAACGGCCTTCGACGACTTTCGTGAAGTATCGAACATCTGTGTTACTGAATATTTTTTGACAGAAAACCTAATAATGGAGTTTGGCTCAACCCGAGGTTCGTAATCAAGGACCCTATGAGCAATAGTAATTACGAACACTAAAATAATGTTGTAGTCACAAATTATACTATATTAAAAACTGTTTAGAGTTTTAAATATACTGAAATTTTTAAACTCTTTCATAAATGATAAATGGCTATAGCCAAGAGCCCATACAAAACACACTTATTTATTTGTGTTGGTAACATATTAGATCAATCTTCTAACACAAACCACTTTAAATGAATTTTACTCATAAAACTCAATTTTAAACTCATTTTATATAATAAGTTTATTAAATTCGTTCTTTGCAGTACTATAACTTCCTGTATTCGATTTTTGGATTCCAACAACAAGGTATACAACCAAGGATAACAAGCACACAGATCACATGAAAACCCATTCGCTAACAACCATGAATCCCTGACATCAAAATAATAGTCAATTTGTACTAAAATATCTCATATGCTTCGAAACCTTTTTTAAAGAGTTACCATGGCATAAATAACGATACGACGCAACGCATTGTACAACAAAGTAACGATTATTTTGATATCAACAAAACAAAAAACAACAAATGTTAGGGAGTAGACTTAGTGAATAGATGCCGAGAATAGACACCAACATAGCACACAACCAAAATGTAGACGATGATGAAATAAATCGCTACTAGTAAAAAGGATTTCGGGTTTCAATAACTAATCATACCATAGAAAGCAGTACTACGCTGCTTAAGAAAGTGCGTATTTTGAAATTTTGGTATTGGGTTCTAAGTCAAGAGTTCGAATTTTCATATAATTATCCATACATTTTGAGGGCCACACAATTCGATTCCATCGTTCCTAAATGGATTATAAAGTGAAAAAAAAAATTATAATATTATCGCCTCCATGTCAATTTCATCCGTTAATACGACTTTCGATAAAGTACATTATTGTTTTGCTTTAAAACTTCCATAAGCGTTTTGTTTAATAACTGCAATCTGTGGCTTGTGAGACCCGTTTACAGTGAACCTCTTGCACGGCTCACCGGTGACTCCCGTGGCCTGAATGGAACAACTAGGTAAGGCTCACCGGTGGCCCCCATGGCCCGAACGGAAAGTCTCGATTTTTTGTGTGGCGTTCAACGTGTAGAATAAAAGAATACAACAAGTTCTTATTGACTGTACTTTGTGAAATGGATCTGAGCTCAAGTTCAAGGAACTATGAAGAAGCTATGTTCGAAGTTTCGTGGTATGATAGGCTTCGTAACAAGGATATCTGCAGTAAAACAAAAGTAACCAACCTAGTCCAACGGATCAGTAAGCCGTAAAACCGACTACTAGTGAAGAAGGAGGTTTTCGAGTAGCAGATTTATTTATTTATTTTTATAGGAGACAAGCAAGCATACGGTTCACCGAATTTTAAGTGACTACCGCCGCCCATGAACAACTGCAACATCAGGGGAATTGCAGGTGCGCTGCCGGCCTTTTAGAAAGGAATAAGCTCTTTTCTTGAAGGTCTCTAGGTCGTATCGGTCCGGAAAAATCGCCGGTGGTAAACTATTCTACAGAAAGGTCGTACGTGTAAGAAAACTCCTAGTAAACTATTCTACAGAGAGGTCGTACGTGGAAGAAAACTCCTAGTGAAACGTAATGTGGTGGACCGCCAAGAATACAAATGGTGTGGATGGTATCGGGAGGTTTACCGCGTAGTGCGTTCATGAAATTTGGCAGCTGGGATTAATCCGAACAATTCCTCAAAGCGCTCCCCGTGGTAGATGCGAAAGAAAATGCAACATCTCTTCGCAGCGCCAGTGAATCGAGCCGATCGGAAAGCACTCGGTCGCGGACGATTCGAGCCGCTCAGCGCTGGATGCTGTAAAGTGGAAGGAACTTGGACTGGGGAGGCGCAGTCCAGAGATGAGAACAGTAGAACATGTGAGGCCGAACCTGCACCTTGTACAGTTGCAGGCGGTGTGTCGGCATGAAATACTGTCCCGCTCTGCTGAGCACGCCAAACTTTTTAGAGGCCAATTTGGTCTTCTCTTCCAAGTGGCCATGAAACTGCACCTCACTCGATATGTCGGCGCTGAGGATTCCGATACTGGCTTAGGCAATAAGGGGAGTGCCTTGAAATTAAGGAGATACAACAAAGGCGTTCTTTTTAGCAGTTAACGCGCAAACTTGTGTCTTCTGAGTGATACATTGGTATATTCCGATTTTAATTGTTAACCGGCATTTTATTATATTAGTACTTACTAGATATTATTACTTATATATACTACTATTATACTATAACCCAAAGTTGTTTTAAATGTAATATTGAATTATTCGAAATTATTTTTTATAGCTTTGGGTGACAAACGAACACACAGTCCACCTGATGGTAATTGAAAGCTGTGGCCCATAGCCATCCACATTTATCCTCAATTAAGAATCAAAATACAAATGCGTTGTCACACCTGAAGACTAAGATGAAATGCCTCGATTCCAGTAAAAAGGGTCTCCGGTTCTCTACACTCACCATACGAAACACAGCAGCATTACGTTGCTATTTTACGCTGGTATTGTGTGAGAGAGTGACCCTGCCCCCGTTAACCGACCCATTCGTGCTACAACTAGCTGCAGCGTGGCTCTACCACGTTAAATCTGCATTATGTTCAAACTACCAGTTAAGTTTTGACTACAAATTAACTGAATCAGATCAAGACGTGCAAAGGGTTTTGAGAAATATTCCACTGATATT